ATGATAAAATGGTTTTAGAAATTAGGATAACATTTATAATTTGTATAGGTATAATTTACCATTTTGTAACTTTTAATAGCCGAGAGACTTAACAAAAAAATATTCTACAGTCGAAGAATTATTTTATAACTTTTAATAGTCGATGAAATTAATAAAAAAATATCCTATAATCGGAGGACCATTTGTTTACATTACCCTATAGTCAAGTGATTTGTTTTAATTGATTTTTTAACAAGAAATTTTAAGTCAGTGGTGGCTCTCCCAAGTCCAGGGACAGGGTATAACATAAGAATTTACAGATTGTCCAACAAAAGTGACGGTGATTTGAACTTTACTTTACAAACTCAAATTTCTGAATCCCAACCACTTATACCGACTCTCGTACTCGTTCGCGTATTTAGATTCGTTTTGCAACTTCTAATTGCGACCAAAAAATCATTTAATTCACGGTCAATTTGCAGCATCAATTAATAAGATGCATGATAGGGACCAATGTTGATAGCTATAAATAAAAAAAAAAACAATGAGAGAGAATGCATTTGTATTTGGTCTAACAGTGGCGTAGCAGAGACTATTTGTCTTGTCTCATTCTTTTGTAAGAGATTCTATGCCTTGAATTCAAATGTGGCATATATTCTATAAATGGTCAAATAGCATTTAAAAAAGAATATAATTAGCTTAATTCAAATAACCATGCAAGTAGTTCATATGATTATAATTATAGCATTTTCATCGAATTTGATCCAACATGTTTGAACAAGATTGACAGATTATATTTAATATATGAATCTAAAACTAGATCCAAGGGACTTTAGCCTATAATATTTTAATGATTTTTACATAAAACTTGATTAAAATTTATTTTTAACTAATAAAAATTGTAGTTTTGTTGAATTTCAAAGCTTCACTTACTATTGAGCATAAAGCCATCACTTTTGACTGGTACAACACTGTACAATTTATGCAGTTGCGTACATAGCGTGTAATCTAAAAGTGTTCAATATTTACCTGCTTTAGCAAAACTTTAATATAGATCATAGAATTTGTCGTCATATGATTATCAAATTTTGACTCAATTGATTTTATCAAAGGACTAATTATAAAATAAGTGTTCATATTATAATGTTTTTCACGAATAGATGTTCAAACTTTTTTTTTTAAATGATTCAGGTGCTTAACGTTACAAACGTTATCACTTTAGGTGCTCGGGCCGCAAACACTATTAATTTTTTTCGTTAAATGAATGTGTCACATTCCGATAATTTTAAAATTTTTATTTAACTTTAAAAAAATTAATATATATATATATATTGAATTAATCACTGGTATCCGATATATTGACAAACTAATCCAGATCAAGTATTGTAGAGGCGAGGACGACCCTCCCAACCCAGTTTGCTCCATTCGCAAACGCCAGGATTCGAACCCCTGACATTACTTAAGGGAACTAGTGTCTCATCTCACTAGATCAATTGGTTGTTGGTAATATATATATATATATATATATATATATATATATATAACGTGTAATCTAAAAGTGTTCAATATTTACCTGCTTTAGCAAAACTTTTATATAGATCATAGAATTTGTCGTCATATGATTATCAAATTTTGACTCAATTGATTTTATCAAAGGAGTAATTATAAAATAAGTGTTCATATTATAATGTTTTTCACGAATAGGTGTTCAAACTTTTTTTTGAATGATTCAGGTGCTTAACGTTACAAACGTTATCACTTTAGGTGCTCGGGCCGCAAACACTATTAATTTTTTTTCGTTAAATGAATGTGTCACATTCCGATAATTTTAAAATTTTTATTTAACTTTAAAAAAATTAATATATATATATATATTGAATTAATCACTGGTATCCGATATATTGACAAACTAATCCAGATCAAGTATTGTAGAGGCGAGGGCGACCCTACCAACCCAGTTTGCTCCATTCGCAAACGCCAGGATTCGAACCCCTGACATTACTTAAGGGAACTAGTGTCTCATCTCACTAGATCAATTGGTTGTTGGTAATATATATATATATATATATATATATATATATATTAAAAACAAAAAAAAAATTGAAATAATCCCAAAACTTTGAAAACCCTTGTTTCAACACCTAAACCCACGCTGGCTACCGCCCTTTTTAGTCGACGAAACTTCACCCGACCTCAGCTCCCCCGACGGTCAATAACCTTATGAAATCATGACCAATCGTTGTTTTGTACCTCGCGAACCCTAGGTTGAAAATCGAGACCCCATGTTATCCCGAGGGCCAATCGGCAATGACTATGGCGGCGTATGACTAGGAAGATGACAGGGACTACGTCGGTGACGATGGTCGTGGTCGACAAGGATGTCAACGACAGGTTAAGGATTTTTAGGAATTTGAGTTCTTTTTTTTTTTGTAATTTAAGTGAAATTCAAAATTACCAAAATATGATATGTGTCACTTAACGAATAAAATTAACGGCAGTTACGGTCCGTACACCTAAAGTGGTAACGTTTGTAACTATAGGCACATGAATCAATAAAAAAAAGTTTGGACACCTATTCGTGAAAACTACTATAATTTGGACACTTATTTTATAATTAAGCCTTTATCAAACAATGACATAATATATTTAAAAAACCATCTTTATTTGACATTTACATCCGAGTTCGAGTAATCGAGAAGCACACTGAGCATTTGTTGTATGCCAATGGGATAGTTATAAGACTCGACAGATCCAACCAAGTGAAGGGCTTCCTTAAGCGCATTCAGGAGATGCTCAGCGTGATGTTCAATGCCAGAATCACCATGCTGAGACCGCATGGCGCTCAATACGCTTCCAACAATCTGATGATCACATCAAAGAATGTTAACAGGTGGCCAAGAAACACGAAGAAAAGTAAAAGTTTGATTCATGATGAAAAAAATAAGGTTATAATCGGATTCGGGTGTGACTGTGAGATACGGATATGTGTCAGATACAAGTATATGTCCGGCACATATATGTTTTACTTTCTGAAGTTTTAATGTATTTGAGCGATCTTTGAAGCATCATATCCTCGTATCTGTGCCGGATAAGCATGAAAAAACATATACTTCTAGAAAAATAAAGAATTGGAGTAACACAGAATTTACATGTGTTGTGTGTTTGAAAAAGTCCCTTTTCTTCAGACCATCAGCTGTATGAACATTGGTTCCACCTGCTAGCTGAAGAAAGTCCAGATAAACAGGTGAGACTCAGTAATCCAGGCTCAATTGGAATTAATGAAGATGAACCTTAATATGTTCATATATACACATATATACGTTTACACAATTAACTTGTGAATTGTAATCTTTACCTCCGGCTAGAGTGTACGTAAACAAGGGACAGATTCCTTATATCAACTACATCCTGGGAAAAGAAATACCAAGGGTGAAAATTTAAGTTCCAATAAAGCAGTGAGATGAATATCCATAGGTTTTAGAATCTTGGGTACCTCAAAGCTAGCGCCACATATGAGCTTGACCCAGTTTCCCTGCTGCAGAGATAAGTGCGGGGAACAGGTTTTTGAAGGAATCCCTATTGATTTTATGAGGTTTTTTACGTTCTGAAGAGGGTTTTTGCTTCCAAATGTTACGTTCACTACAGAAAGAGAGAATAAACTACTAAGAATAACCAAAGAATAAATGATCGAACTGTAAGGGAGGGGAGAAAAAAGCGGACCATGGTGTTGAGGAGGAATTACAGAACTGCAGTAGAAGCTCAAAGCCATGGCGGAGAAGCTGGCAAAGATGGAAAAAGAGGAGGGGTTTAATGGACAACTCTTTTTAACAGATTTCGGCGGTAAGGCTGTATCATATTTTTATAGGTAAATTACGTAAGTAGTACTTAAATTATCAGTTTTAATTGTTTTAGTATTTAAACTTTCAGTTTTTTTCAAAATTATACCTAAAATTTAGTTTTTGTTTCATTTTAGAAACCTAGTACAAAACTTAACATTAAATTTTGAAAAAAATTGAAAATTTAGGTACTAAAACGGATCAAAATTGATTGTTTAGGTATTAAATGTATAATTTACCTTATTTTTATTTAGCCTTTGGGTCAATTCGCCTAATACTTATTTCATTATTTTCCGGTAAAATACACCCATAGGTCATTTAATTATTCATAAAATTACAAACGAGTTGATAATTTTCAAAAAATTACAAACAAATAATTCAATTAATCAATTATTATAAATAATCGCTTGGTTGGATATCTATAATAAGTGTTCCGCAGCAGGGAAAGGTTAATCCATGGTGTCTGGAGAAATTTGCTGAGACAACTCAAAAGCGTGTTGAATCGTTGGAGTGATCGACCTTCGGTGGGTGATGCGTTACACAGCCTTTAAGTCATGCCTTCAGTTGGAGGAAAATTTCGAGAGATACAGCAATTATCGCCATTGATGAGTATACTGTGAGCTTTGTTCTTCTTGCAGATAATCAATCCGACTCTTCATGTAGTAACTGTGTTGATATCCAGCATTTATATTGTACGCACTTACGCATATGGATATGAAGATAATCTTTCGAAAAATTCGGGAAATAAAACTACAGAAAAAAATGAACAAAACAATGTCGGACATATAGCATATCGTACACTATTTCAAAATCAGAGTAACATAACATTAGAGAACTGAGATGAGCAGCAAAGGAATATTTTTACCATAAGAAAAGATTCAACAGGCTAAAAGTGGAACGTTTAACCATACCAGAATGAGCTTCAAGCTCACATGATATAGCCATGACCTTGAGTAAGTGGAGATTTCAGACTTTCAGTACATAAGATCATAACTACAGCTAATTATGTAATGTAGAAATGGGAATTAAGATGAAATTGTGAGGGAGAACCAGATATTTTGAAGTCTTTTATAAGGTCAGTTTGAGCAATGAGTGTCACTAAGATTCCTCAAACAACATTAACACAAAAGTCTCGGTAAAAATAGTTTGTCGAAAGAAGATTACATTGAGCAGCTCTGATCATCAACTTATGAGACCAACTACATCTCAATCTCAATCTCTCCATCGATGCCCACAGTTTGGATTACAGCAGACAAAAAACAGTGTCATACCTTCCTCCCCTCTAGCAGTTGCCTGAAAAAAAAGGTTGCATTAGAAGAAACATTACCACTACTCATCATGCATAGAAAAAAATCATTTCCCTTAAAAAAACATATACATTCTAGATAAGTCCCGAACAAAACATCTATGTTGCCCAGAGTGGGGTGCGAGCGAGTTAGTTTCAGATACGAGTAAACTCAATTTTTTTCTGTTTCCCCCCCCCCCCCCCATATATTTGGATGAATATATCACCGTGCACATATTCAAATGTCTTACAGACAAATGCTGTAGGGAAAACGAAGTTTAAGCAACATAGATTCTCATTATATATGGATCACCCTTGATGCTACATGGAGGAAAACAAAGACAAAAATAGGCCATAGAAGAAGGGAAAATACAGATCTCCTACTGAGTATTAATTGTAGTGAACACCCACAGTTTTTACATTTTCGATAACCAAAAACCACAATAAGGATTTATCAGGTAACCATTGTATCCATAAGAGAATCCGATAACCTAAAGTTGAAAAATCTTAAAAGCAGATGCAATAATATAAGAGAATCCGATATAATGAACACACAACCTCGAGTTTAATGCTCTGTCAAACATTTCAGTCAATTTTTCCCCCTTCAATTTTCTAAAACACAGAGAATCCTCAAGAAATGAATCACATTCTCTCCTTACAATAAGGATTTATCCTATCTATAAACAAAAACTTAAAGTACGTAGGAAGTTCACCTGGAAGAACACAGCCTCTCCATGTTTACAATTGGCGCAAATAACGGCTTTAGTCCGAGGAAGAGTGGGATCAGCAGCCACATCCTGCAACACTTGAGTGCGTTCACCAGCAGAGTGATGCACTTCATTTCTATACACACAGTTGTTTTCAGCCACCTCCTACATAAATAACAACGATAATCCCAATTTAAAACGTTTAACTTCTGGTATTGAGTCAACAATTCACAAAAACAAAAGAAACCCATCTTCTAAATTGGACAAAATTAGAGAGAAACGGTAAAAAAAATGGAACGGGTTAGGAATTAATGTGGGTTTAACACGGAATCAAAAAGTAACTCAAAATAAATTATACCCTAAATGAAAAGGGGGGGGAAACAAGACACCCGAATCTTAATTCTTCATCGAAAAAAAGAAACTTCATCCTGCTAAAAGTAAATAAGTAAAAGAACCTGGTGATCGCAGTTGCGGCAAGCGTAGAGGAGAATCTTCTGGTCCCTGTCTTCCTTCGGGTAGAGGATGTTGTTGCTTTATCAACCAAACAAAAAAAATAAAAATTTTAAGCGCAGGAAAGAAAATCCAAGGGATGAAAAGGTAAATGAATGAAAAGAAAAGAAAAGAAGTAAAAGGGATGAAAAAAAATGCAAGAAAGAAATGACTGCAAGAAGATTAAAGGGCTGTGAGAGCTGACCATTCGCGGCAAAACTTCATGGTACTCATCTTTTCCGATTAATATTTGTTTTCCCGGGAGATTTAGAAAAGGCAGACAGCCTTTGGGTTCTTTTAGTAGCGGGATCTTTCCGAGTGTTGCAAGCCTCCAGTGGGGAAATTGAGGAGGTTTAGCGTTGATGGCTTTTATACTCTCATTCTAGGGTATATTATGAGTTTAATACTTAAATTATCAATTTTAGTCTATTTTAATATCTAAATTTTCAATTTTATAAAATCATACCTAAAGTTTAACTTTTGTTTCATTTTAGTACTTTGGCATTAAAAAATTTAGATTTTGTTTCATTTTAGTACTCGTTCAAAATTTAACGTTAAGTTTTGGAAAGATTGAAAGTAAACGGACCAAAATTAATAGTTTAAGTACTAAATACTTTAAAGTTTTTAATGGCAGAGTACTACAACGAAACAAAAACTAAACATTGGATATGATTTTGAAAATATTAAAAGTTTAGGCACTAAAACAATCTAAAATTGATAGTTTGGTACTAAATGAGTAGTTTACCCTTCATTTTAATATGGGGTAAACTACACTAGTAGTCTCTAAATGTTTAGAGAATTTATGTTTTGGTTATTGAACTTTAAAAAATTATATTATAATCATTGAATATTTAATTCGCTTTCATTATCATCTTTATCGTTAACCGTTAATAAGTATTTACATGTACGAGTGACAATTTGACCAAATCTGATGTGTTCCAATTTAATTTGATTTGGCATTATCAAATTAAAAATTTAGTTTGGATCGTGTTGGGTTAAATTTGTCAATGATGGGTCAGATCAGATTCAGAGTGAAAATCTTTGACCTGACTCAAGATAATAGTATATTATATAATTTTGGGATAAATGATAAAATGACATCTTTCTATAATTTTTTCAATTAGATCTCTATTTTATCGAATAATTTTTTTATATTTGTGTCAGATCAAGTCGAGTCAGATGTGAGGTCAGGTTTGAGTGGATAGGTTATGCTTCTCAGGTCGAGTCAGCCAAAAATCCGACTGTTAGTCGGGTGCAAATATTTTATCTAAAAAATTTAATCAAATCATGTTTGAGTGGATGGATTATACTTATCAAGTCGAGTCACCTAAAAATCCAACCCATTTTCATCCCTACTAATATGACACATTAAAAATTAAAAAAAAAATCCTAAGGTTTCAAATTGATAGAAAGATTATATTTTATAAGAAATTGACGTAATTTAATTTCAAGTTGATCGGATAATTGAAAGTGATATATTGAAAAAATTTAGCTTACAGTTTAGTTGGACCGTCGTCTATTTTTACCATTATTTCTATTATTGTTCGATATTTTTTAATCGAAGGATAATAAAATTATTCTTATTATTCTATTAATTTTTTAATCAAAAGTGACGTTTAAGGGTATTTGGTTTCATTACAAGAATACAAAGTTTAGTTGGGAAACATGACGGATATGATGTAATATGGAATGTAATCTTATATTTTGGTGCAACATGCAGGGATGGTAAAAAAATTCGAACCCGACGGGGAAAATTGAAAACCGAATTAAACGGGTCGGGTTCGGGGATGATAAACGGGGACGGGGACGGGGACGGGGAAAACTCATTTATTTTAAATAGGGACGGGGATGGGGACGGGTTTGGTAATCCCCGCCCCGATTACCCGATTACCCGCCTCGATACCCGACCCGATAAATATTAAAAATAATTATATATATATATATTAATAAATTTAATTTAAATAAAAAATATATATTTATATATTTAATTTAAATATATATATATATACCCGGCCCGATTCTCGGCCCAATACCCGACCCAATACCCGACCCAATACCCGTTTAAATAACCGTTTATGCTAAACGGGGATACCCGTTTCCTCGCGGTTTTCCCCGATTACCCGACGGGGATCCCCGTTTAAATCCCCGTGATTTTTTAAACGGAGACGGTATCAATTTTTTAAACGGGATGGGGACGGGGGGACCAATACCCGGCCCGAACCCGGCCCGTTGCCATCCTTAGCAACATGGTGTAATAATAACATTTGTGATTATTGTTTTCAATCTAAAAAAAAAAGAATGGTTTTTACTAGGGTAATTTACGCTTTTAATATCTAAATTATCAGTTTTTGTCCATTTTAATACTTAAACTTTTAATTCTTTTAAAACCTTACTTAAAGTTTAATTTTTATTTATTTTAGTACCTCCATTCAAAATGTAACGTTAAGTTTTGAAAAATACTTTGAGAGCTTAGGTAGTAAACAAACCAAAATTGATATTTTATGTACTAAACGCGTTAACTTTTTGTACATTATTCTAAAATCACATTACAAAGTTTTCCATCTTAAATATTAATGTACATTATTTATATAAATGTGATCAAACAAATGCTATTTTTTAATGACGTAGCATAAAAAAATTGTTTGAATAATGTCGAACGAAAATTATTCGTTGGTACCATGTACGACGCATGAACTACCATGCGACACCGGGATGTTTCCGTGTGTGATCCATGGCAGACACATAGATTTCCATGCGTTACCCAAATTTTGTTTTTTTTTTGTTTTTTTTACTTATGGTCACTACAAGTTGCTCGAATCATACAATGTTATCCTAATCAAATGGCTCAAATCATACCCTGTTACTATAATCAAGTTGTTTAAACCATGTCCTGCTACCCTGACACTTCAACAACTTTCAAAATTTTCAAAACCGTACTTAAAGTTTAATTTCTGTTTCATTTTAATATCTAATTCAAAATTTAACGTTAAATTTTCAAAAAAATTATAGTTTAGATATTAAATTGACCAAACTAATAGTTTAAGTACTAAATGCATTAAAATTTTAATGACAGATACAAACTGAAAATAAAATGAAATGTTAAATATGATTTTAAAAAAATGAAAATTTAAACACTAATTGAATCAAAATTGATAGTTTAGATATTATATGTATAGTTTACCCAAAATTTATTTAAACACAAATCTTCTAAAAAATTAATGGCAGTGGACTCGAAAGTGGCAGGCAAATATGGGAAAAATTGGCTGGAACAAGTAAACATATCTAAAAATTTTCCGGGAAAACAAATAATAGTGGAGAAAATTTTTAAAATTTGGAGGCAAACCAAACAGGAAAAAACAGACAAAAAAACAATACGGTGGCGCCTTTTTTTTGGTTTATTCAATGAAAACTCTTCATTTTTGTAGAATTTGGCGGGTGGCAAAATGGAATTAAAACTGTGTCCGTCAATGGCTTTTCGGTCATTTCACAGCCAATGAACTAGGGTTTCGCGTCCCGCTTATAAATACTTTTTCTGGATCCCCCTGCGTGCGGTGCTTTATGTCGGTTTGATTCGTTTCCTGCCACTTGAAAATTTTCCTTTTCTTTCTCTAACTTTCTCTCCTGAGAAAACTGTCAGTCTCTCTGATCAGCACAAAGCAAAGCCACCCACTTCATTCCCACCTTTTGGATCATTTTCCATATCTTGATCCGTTTTTCACTCGAAACTTCACTGCTCGTTTGAGTTCTGTTTGTTTTACAACTTGAGTTGGTTCCAGATCTTCAACAAAAATCCAACAATGCTGGATCCAAGTGAAAAAGTTAGTGGTCATCAATGTTCTTCATTGGATCATTAAGCTTAGCTTCCATTTTCTCTGACCTGATTCGCTTATTTTTTTCCTGTAGGGATCATATTCGGAAGATCAAAGTTACGAACATCAAGAAACGATCTCACCTACCAGATCTCAAAATCAAAGCGTTTTCAACGAACAAATCAAGAAAATTTGCGCCGATTGCGGTACTTCTAAGACCCCTCTTTGGAGAGGCGGCCCAGCTGGTCCCAAGGTATTCCTCTATTTCCATTTCAACACTTATTTGATCTTTAATCTTTGATTTTTGTTTCTCACGCTTTAATTTGATTCTTTTTTTGCAGTCATTGTGCAATGCTTGCGGGATCCGAAGCAGGAAAAAGAGGAGATCAATAATCGGACTAAAGAAAGCGGAAGAGAATAAATCAAAGAAATCATCAAACAGCCCTAGAAATTTAGGTGATAATCTGAAGCAAAGGTTGATATCATTGGGTAGAGAGGTTCTGATGCAAAGATCAACGCTCGAGAATCAAAGGAGAAAGCTGGGCGAAGAAGAACAAGCTGCTCTTCTTTTGATGGCTCTCTCTTATGGTTCTGTTTATGCTTAATTTATCCGGGCGTCTAACCATTGTTAAGTGATTTTTGCTCAATTCTTTTAGTTCTAAGTGTTTAACTAATTGTATTGTGAGAAGGAATCAAGAAAGTTTTGAATGATCTGCTTTGCCTAATATAATTTTAGCAGTGATTTGTGTTTCTGGGATCTGATTTCTCCATCTTTTTTTTTTTGAATTTGTTTTGTCTTATTGAACGTGTGGTTTATATAAACTTAACCCAAAAGAGAAAAGGCAAATTCCATGGATAAGGATGAAAAGAAACCTATAAAGGAATGAAAATGAAGTTTCAGGGAAAATCAAGAATTTTCTTTGGCGCCAAACAGCTTTAAGCACTATATTGAATTTGTTGTCTTATTGAACGTGTGGTTTATATAAACTTAACCCAAAAGAGAAAAGGCAAATTCCATGGATAAGGATGAAAATAAACCTATAAAGGAATTGAAAATGAAGTTTGAGGGAAAATCAAGAATTTTCTTTGGCGCCAAACAGCTTTAAGTACTATATTCTTTTGGTGGGATTTGAATCATACCAAAGTCAAATTCAAGTACCACATAATCAAATTGAATCGGATCAAAGTTAAATTCTAATAAAAAAATTTTGTTTTCACCTCAAAGTTTAACTATTAAACAGACCTTGTTTTTTAACGAGTAAAGTATACAAATGGTTTTGATTATATAATATTATTTTATTAAGTATTATTAAAAAGTTATAAAATAATTCTTTAATTTTAAAATGTTACTTTGTTAAATCTTTTAACCATTGAAATTTACAAAATGATCATCTGATTCTTTATTATGTTCTAAATTCGTTCTTTTCTATTAAAAAATTAACGATTGTAACTTTTAATAAGGGACTCGACAAAACAACACTTTATAGTCGAAGCATCATTTTATAACTTTTAATAATCAATAGATTTAATAAAACAGTATCTATAGTTAGGGGACCATTTTTGTACTTTACATTTTTTAAATTGTTTTCTAAAATTCATTTTGGACGTTGCACCTCTTTGAAATATTATCTCAGTTTTTCCATTTCTTCTGTTCTTTAGGAGAAATAACATTCCAGGAAAAAGTTTAAGAGAGCTCCATAAAAAGTATATTTTAAAGGGCAAACAAGGAGATCCATCTCCAAACTAGCATGCCAACTTGTAATGATATCGAATCCGATCGGACTCTCTCACGTAGCATCGACGATGCAGTCTTGATTCGAGTACATTTGGTAACCGGAAAAAAAACGACGATCACAAATCGACAGGAAAGCTTAACGTCTACAGCAATCAAATGGTCTAATTTTACATAAAAATGAAACTATAAATGAGGATCCCATGAAAATTTACCAGGATTCAATGCCCAGACTTATGTCTACAGCAATCAAAATGGTATATGCACATCACAAATCAATTCCGAAATAAATAAGAGGAGCAAATATCTTCTGATTATTAGCCTCCAATGGCCTTGCTGGTGCTTAGAAACAATCCTCCACAAACATTGAAAATCACCCTAAAGTTAGTTGGTCATACCAGATTTCGCTCCGGAAAAAAGATCGAACGGAATCCCTTCATGTATCATGCAGGAGTAGAATATTACTTGCCCAGAAGTCATCTTGCAAAGGCTACTCGTCCGGACTGATTATTATCCCGTTAATGTGATCCTCCTATGTTGAGAACCGGCAGCATATGATAATCTTAAAGGAAGTCATGTCCAGTTTCTTGAAGAAACATGAACTTAAGGGTCCTAATGATTGATTGCATAAGAGATTATGTACATTATAAAATGCAATAATCATTACAAGAACTGGAGAATGATGGGTGGTCGTCTTCACTGGAATATCATCCAGGGAATACCCGTCGTAATCAAACTCATTTTCAGCTGGTGCAATGCCTTGTTGCTGCCGGAAAATCGAATTTTAAATGTAAGTGAATATCTCCATCGGTATGTAAATAAAAGAGAATAAAAAGAATTAACCTGTTTCAGAAGAGCACTCATGAGATCTGCTTGTCCAAAGTGATCGATGAATAGATTGTCAGGGTTTACATCTGCAACACTCTCGGTCTTGACCCGAATTGTATTGTCAATAGGAAGGGAGTTGAGATGCTGATTAACATTTAGTGGATTCCCTGGTTCTGTACTATCTCCTGCTGAGAACATCGCCTTGCTTACAACGATTCCACTCCTGTTTTGTCTGTTCATTTGGCCTGAAGTAAATCCTTGTTGCACTAGAACCGATTGCGAAAGATCAAGGTTGCCTTGAAGAGAGTTCGAATGCCGAGTGTCATCGAATGCCACTCCTACATTCTGTAGCTCCCAGTTTTGTGGTTTATGTTGATTCAAGTCATCAAATATATCATAACTTGGCATGAATCCCACTGATCCTCTATATTCCGAGTTAAAGTCTTCCTGAAATGTCCCTTTCGACGTACGACCAGACATCCCCGGTGTACTTCCAAGAGGGAAACAATTACCAGGTAGTTCTGAAGCATGATTCATGGGGTAATTCAACATCGAAGAGGTCTGCGAAACTGGATTATTACCAGGGGCTCGGATATTTGCTCGAATACCATTTTGTGTAGAGACATTGGAAGCAATTCCATTTGATATTATAGGCTGCCCCACGGACAACGGAAGCCGGGGAGCATGAGCAAATTGTGGCTGACCCATCTGCATCAATGCTGAGTTACTTTGGCTACTTTGCACACCATGAGAAGCAACTTGCATATTTATCAATTCCGAGTTATTTTGGCCACTTTTCACACCATGTGAAGCGACTTGCATATTTATGTTTCCTATTGATGTTGAAGTGGTAAGCTGCTTTGGCTCCATAGTCGTTGGAATTGCATGAAGTAAATTTATATGCTTATTGTTATTCATAAGTTGTTGTTGCCCTTCTCCAAATCTTAACTTCGGGTTTTCGAAGCTAAAAATGTTTCTTTGGTCAACAAGGGGCAAAGGTATGCTCGATTTAGCAGTTGAATGACCAAGCGCGGCTGCTTGGAGTGTGGCGAGACATTGTGCAGGAAGTTGACCACCGGCAGCAAGAGCTTGAAGACCAAGCCCATTGACTGAAGATAGCGGACCAAAAGTTTCTTCTTGAGGATTCATAAATGAATTATTCAGGTGCGGTGATACCCCACTCAACCTTCTAAGATACAAGCGATATTTCTGATCACAAAAAAATGAAGTCATTATCATCAAAGAACCAAAGAAATTTTCGATTTCTGAGAATCATACCTGAAGAAGAAAGTTTGTGTATATGTACCATACCTGAAGATGACTGGCAACATTTTCTCTGGTAAGGCCAGGAACATTCATCAACTCCAAAATTTTCTTCGGGACAGCCTCTGAAGAAGAAGATCAAACACCATGGATGGGTATGAAAACTGAGCGTAGCAAATATGAAAGAAGAGAAACACCAAAACATCGACAGGCCAACCATACTTGAGTTTATATAAACAACGTAATATACTAATATGACAACGAAACTTGAATACGTCACTTAGATTTAATCCATGCCAACCAAGGAAACGCACTTCAGCTCAGATTCTTGAATTATTTGCTAAAATGAGCATACTGTAGTTGACACTAAGACCCGAGTCGAATAAAATGGTGCAAAAGTATAAAAGACTTCCACCAGATTTCAGAAAATAAACACTATCACTTTATGCATGCTACTATGATGAGAAGATGGAACATTTAGCAAGTATACATCAGCAAAATGAAAGAAATGGGTAAAAGACTCGTACTGTCAATGCCCAATTGATTAACTGCTGCAACAAACTGTTGATGGAGCTCAATGGACCAGACAACCCTCGGCTTCTTTAGTGTGGATGTATCATCTCTATCCTCGGTTTCATCTTCGTCATCCTTCCTCCTTTTTGAGCTTTTCCAATTTCCTTCATTAGCCGAGGAAGAGTAATCCGCCTCTTCAGATTGTTTTTGCTGCTGATCTCCTTCTTCTACACTTCCCGATTGCTCCAAGTCCTTCGACCCATTCTTCCTCTTCCGAATGACATGCTGCCATATGTTCTTCAGTGCCTCGATACGAACCGGTTTGATTAGGTAATCACAGGCACCATGAATAACACCCTTCATAACGACATGTTTTCCATCATCTGCCGACATCACTGAAGAAAATACAAGTCGGAATATGAAGCTGGAAAGTACTCCAAACCCGATGAAATGGTCGATCCATGGTGACAAATTTCACGTCAAACATATATGATAAGAGTGCTTACTGATGACAGGGAGATCCATCTCCAAACCAATATGCTCAAGAAGTTTGAATCCGTCCATGTCCGGCATATGAACATCACTGATGACGATATCGAATCCGTTTTTGTTCTCACGCAGGATAGACAATGCAGTCTCGGCTCGATTGCATTTCGTAACTGAAATAAAAATACAAATCAAACCGATCATCCGTCAAATTGTATAAATATCAACCTCTTAGCTCCAAACAAAGCGAATCCGCAAATCCACAAGGAATAAAGAAACTGGAACTCCCTAATGTTTATACATATGCACAAATCAAAGCAAATAAATACTTCAAGCAATTTGCAGAAAAATACGCTATCTCAACTAAGTTACAAAAAAAATCCCCAAATCCAAGAAATGGTCATCGACAATTCATGTAATCGATATGTCATTGAAAATCCATACCGGAAACAGAAAATTAGCATCTTAAACACGGAAATTAGTGATTAAAACGAAGAACTAAAGAAAACCAAGAAAGAAAATTGTGATTTTACCTTCATACGAACAATTTCTCAGCATCTTCTCCAAGATTATGAGACATGTCGGATCATCATCAACAACAAGCACACGGAGACCAGCAGGGAACTGATCTGGAACTGAATCTACTGCTTTCCAAGCAGCACTTGAGCTAGTAGCAGTCGCCATGGGCCCCTTTCCACCACTTGAAAACCCGATCCGAAACCAGAAAACAAGGGGAAATTTTGCAGGAAGATGCTGGGTTTCACATGCTTAAACTTGAACTAACTCGTCAAGCATTACAACAAAAGATTGATACTTGATACCCAGAGTTGAAAATCCAAGGATAGACGGTATGCCATTGATGCCTCAATCGTGCACATCATGAAGAGCCGGAAAGTTCTAGGTCACCAGCAGTTGGTCATGGAGTGTGTCGAGCAGTTAGGCTGCATGTTCAAGGTCTTTCACGACTCTTTTTCATATTGTACACCATGTCCACTGGTGTCCGCTGTTACTTTCTTGCCAATAAAAGAACTTTGACAATTGCAGCCTGATTTCAAGGCGATCAAGAAGAGAATCGAGGACCTAATTACTCGAGACTATCTCGAGAGGGACAAAGATAACCCCAAAATGTTCAGGTACTTGGCGTGACGTGGGCTATACTAAATTATCCTGATGAAAGGGTGACCATTTTGCTGCTGCAAATAGCTCGAAACAGTTAGACGAGGTCGGTTTGCAGCTAAAGTGGCATATAAAGATCAATAAGATGCCACCAGATGAGTTGCTTTTGATGATTTTGCTTAGCAGGAGCTGAGATGCTTGTACAGAAAGAGCCAGGTTTGGCCAAGTTGTAAAATTCCGAAACCAACCGGAAAATTCGTAATCGATCCCGTAATACGGTCCGGCACGGCAACGGACCATCTTGTAACTGGTTTCATAGTACTGCAAAAAGCACAGTTCATGACTTCAGTTTGATGCTTCTTGTTTTGTTCCACCAAATGGGGGGAAATGTGTAGTTCTATGTTTTGTATATTTTAAAAGCTTTATTATGATTGTAAGTTCATTGAAATATTAGGACAAAATGAAGATTTGATTTATGTTAGATTTTTGGATAAACTGATCGGTACCCGCGTTTCCAATTTAGTCATCGAATTAAAATAACATTTTATTTTCGTCACTAGTTTGATTTCTTTTTCATTATTCACAAGTCCTTGTACTATTTTTATTTAGGGTAAAGTATACAAATGGTCCCTGATTATAGGATGATACTTTGGTAAGCCTCTCGACTATTAAAAGTTATAAAATGATCCCCCGACTATAGAGTATTACTTTGTTAAGCCCCTCGACCATTAAAAGTTACAAAATGGTCACCTGACTATTCATTATATTCCAAACTCGTCATTTTCTGTTAAAAATTTGACGACAACCTAAGCTGGGCATTATCCTGTTGACTGTGATATGATAAAATTTGATCACAAAATCTCAAACGACTATCATATCCCAGTCATCGTGTTGACGTTCAGTTCAGACAACAGTCAATTTTTTTAGCGGAAAAGGACGAGTTTGGAACATAATGAATAGTTGAATGATCATTTTGTAACTTTTAACAATCAAAAGACTAAACAGAGAAACACTTTATAATCGGGGATCATTTTGTAACTTTTGATAACTGTGAGATTTAATAAAATAGTATCCTATAATCGAAGGACCATTTGTATATTTTACCCTTTTATTTAAAATTTTTAGTCTTTTTCAGTTTATATTCAATATTTTAGTCCATGTATATTTTGCTACTTGACACTCTATCTATTTTTGGGATTAATTTATACATAAATTATTTATTTTTTTTAAAAAAAATTCATATTTTAGGATTTTTTTCAATTCATCGACATCAAAGTATTTTCTTTATATTTAAATGGCATAGAGATTGAGAAGAAAAATAAATAATATATCTCGATTTCGTGATGATAAGACAATGGAAATTATAGATCGAACTACAATAATATTTATTATTTGATTTATGTTTTCTCAATTTGGACGAGATTTCAAGGAAAGACAAGTTGAGAGGAAGAAATATGAGAGAAGGAAAAACATATTGGTACTAATTACGTCGTAAACAACGGTTGACAACAGTCAAACAACAATAAAATTGTGAAGAAGGAAGGAGGTAAACGTAAGATTTTATATTAAGAGTTGAATTTATGAAATTTTAAGAGAACTATACGTATAAAATAATGAAATAATTTTATTATAATTTTGAAAGAATTTCATACAATATTAGAGCACCATCGTATACGACCGGAGTGCATGCATGCATGTTTAGGGTTAAAAGTATTTCATCGTTCCTCCTGCACTGCCTCTCCTCCTTTCTTAACTTCAGCATTAAAATCGGCTTTAGCCGATTTGACAAAACGAGACAAAATCGTTTGACTCACTGGCGAAGACACAATTTTCGACACAATCTCCGGACTTATGACACCGGCTTCCGCCATTTTCATGATCGGAGTGAACAGCATTATCTCGTAATCGACCTCTTCCTGCTCCGGCGAAAGCGCAACGCGATTACGATACTTCGCTTTAGCCTTGGCGATGTACTCGTTCAACGACGCCGTGGTATCTGGCGACGCCGCCATTTTCTGCATGGCGTCGCGAGATATGAAACCGGCGTCCACCATTTCCATCATCGGAGTGAAGAAAATAGTGGAAAAGAACTGTTCTTCCTGCTCCGGCGAAAGCGGTCCATCGCCATCCCTTGCGCTGGTTCGAGCTTTCTCGATGAACTGAGCCAGCTTCGATTTGGCCTCGGAGGATGACACGACTTTCCTCAGCACGTCGGGAGCTAATAATCCATCGTCCGCCATCTGCATCAACGGCGAGAAGAACATCGTCGACAAATACCGTTCTTCCTCGTCCGGCGACATGACGACATCGATGTTGTCTTTCGAGCTGAACTTAGCCTCCGCGATGAATTTAGCCAACCGTGTTTGAACATCGGGGGAAGACGCAACCTTCTTCGCGTCATCGATCGTAATTAATCCGACGTCCGCCATTTCTAGCATGGGTGTGAAGAACATCGAGGAGAAGAATCTGCCTTCATGCTTAGGGGAAAGTGCTCTATCAGGCACGGAGTCGGTTTTCTTTGCCTGACCGGAAGTCGTACCGTCAACCGTGGTGCTAGCATCTCTGACGAAATCTTTTATTTCCCCGTCGTCGTGTCCTACCACGGAATGGATGGAAAGTAGCAAGGCAAATGAAAGTATAACAAAAGTAATCTTCGCCATGTTTATTTTTTTTTTATTTCTTAAAGCTTAAACTAAAAGAAGAGAATTATCGCCGGTGGTGCTTGAGGATGGAGATGAGCCGGAATTTAAAGAGCTTGGGATGAATTATTTTAGGCGAATTTAGGGTCTCGTTGACTCGTATAGAGATTAATGACCACTCACATGTAGGGTAAAGAATAAATATACTTTTTCTCTACATTTTTTAAGATTAGGAGAGGAAAAAGTACTTAAAATTTGGGTAAAATAAACAAATGGTTTATGAATATAGGTTACTGCTTCATTAAGTCCCCGACTATTAAAAGTTATAAAATGATTATTCGATTATAGAATGTTGCTTTATTAAGTCCCTCGACTATTAAAAGTTATAAAATGATCATTCGACTATTCATTATGTTCCAAACTCGTTATTTTCCGTTAAAAAGTTAGCAGTTGTCTAAGTTGGACGTTAGCATGATGACTAAGATATGATAGTATTTTGAGATTCCCATATCAAATTTTATCATATCACAGTCAGCAGGTCAAAGTTCAGCTCAGAACACCGTCAAATTTTTAACGAAAAAGGATGAATTTGGAATATAATGAATAGTCAAGTGACCATTTTGTAACTTTTGATAGTCAAGGGACTCAATAAAATAACACTCTATGATCAGAGGATCATTTGGTAATTTTTAATAGTTGAGGGATTTAATAAAGCAATACCCTATAGTCGAAGAACTATTTGTGTACTTTACCCTTTATAATATACATTTTTTAAAATCAAATTATTTTTAAAAATATTTTAAATAACTAATATATAGTTTTATAAAATTAAAATATCTATAAAATAATAATTCATAACTTGGAAAATTTAATCATGATCATCAATATACAATATATTGATAGATTCTAAATTGTATCACTTAATTTTTGTTATTCATGTTTTCATTATTATAATTTACAAATTTTTATTGAAGTTTAATTTACTTCTATTGTAGTTATTCCATCTTTATGATTGAAAATTTTTCTTTTAAAAATTATGAAATACTAGTATTAATTTTTTTCTTGATTTTTTGAAAAATAACTCATAATTTTGAACTCTCTTTAATTTCTCGATGATAAAACATTTTATTTCAAATCATAATGGTTAAGATTCACGTCGATTTAGATATTATAAATCAAAGTGATTTGGAGTTTTATAAATTTAGGATTTATGATTAAATTATGAATTTTAAAGTGATTTAGATACGACTTAAATTGAGAAAGTGATAGGAAATAATGAAACAAGTTTGTCAATATCTTGAGTGACTGGCGAATGACAATTGCTACTGTGACATAACATTAGAATATAACTTTAAAACTTCCAGAGGAAGAAAATAAAATAAAGAAAAAGAGAAAATAATATGGATGACACATGTATTTTATATTAATAAAAAATTGTCTACATTAGTCTCTGTAACTTTTATGTCATAGTTTCGATTATGATTTAACATATGAGTCACTAAAATAGGAGTAAATAAAAAATTGAGTAATTTACATGTTTAATATCTAAATTATAAGTTTTGATCCATTTTAGTACCTAAACTTTTAATTTTTTCAATACAATGCGTAAAGTTTAGTTTTTATTTCATTTTAGTACCCGCCGTTAAAAACTTTAGTTTTTATTTTGTTTTAGTATCCTGTTCAAAATTTAAAGTTAAGTTTTGAAAAAATTGAAAACTTAGGTATTAAAACGGGTCAAAATTGATAGTTTAGATATTAAACACGTTAAGTTTTTAACGAGAGGTACTAAAATGAAATGAAAGCTAAACGTTAGACATCGAAAACAAAAGAATGGGGTTAGATGGTTGGACGAATAAGTTTCTCGAGACAGCTGTGGCATTGAAAGCAATGTCCACCTCCACACTAGAGAAGAAGTTTGATGCTTTTAGGAGATGGGGTTTGTCTGACCAAGAGATTCATCCGTCGTGTATGTTGGTTTCGGTGGACAATATCATGGATATGATGGATTTTCTTGTGAACAAAGTGGGCTACAGTTCTACTCTCGTCGCCAAGCAATCCAGTATTTTTGCTCGGAGCTTAGAGAAGAGGATTGTCCCAAGGGCTTTGTTTGTTCGAGAATTGTTGTCACGAGGTTTAGCCGACAGTGTCAGATTCTCTATGGTGTTCGATTCATCGGAGAAGGATTTTCCTTAGGAGGTATGTTAACCGTTTCATAAACACACAACCCCAGCACTTGAAGCTATACAGAGAAAACTTTAACATTTCGGGAAAAAAGAACGAGAAGTGAGTTAGCATAGGCTGCAACATCCCTATTTTAACACTGGCATCCTTAAGATGTGGCATCCAACATGTTTAGGGTTTAAATTTTAACACTGGCCGTGGCCTCCGTTATATATAGGGTGTTAAAAATATTCAACCCCGTTGACCCGACCCTTCGACCCACTGACCCGGCTAAAAAAATACCTGGTATTTATTTTGAAAATGCCCAATTTTTCAAGTAGGGTACCCGGTCGCTAAATTTTTCATGTTTTCGGGGTGGGCCGGGTCAAAAAATATTTTTAATCGAGTACCCGCCGACCCGATACTCGATTTATATATTAAAATTTTATTTATAATTCTCAAATTATTTCATTATAAAATTCAAAATTCTTAATTTCTTAAATTTTACCAGAATAACATTTCAAAATCTTAATTTCTTAAAATATTTCACATTAACATTCTAAATTATTTTTTAAAATATTTATTTTAACTTCAAAACATTTAAAATTTAATTATATTTTTTATTTTTGTTTTTAATAAATTTTATTTTAGTTATGTAATTTGAATTTTTAAACTTTATGTGTGAATTATATATTATAGACTCTTAAATTTTAAAATTTTCTATATAATTTTTTTAAAATAATATAATTTAAAGAAAAAATTATGAATCGGGTAGCCGAAAATACATGTATATGAATTTTATGAGTATTTAATGTAATGGGTCGGAACACGGGCCGACATTTTGGTATTCGAAAATTTCTGGTACCCAGATATAATGGGCCGGGATACGGGGCGACATTTTAGTACCCGAAAATTTTGAGTACCCGATTTTATACACCCCAACTTATGTCACACATTGGTATATTTATGCCGTGTTCATGTCACATAATCATATTATATTCAATGCTATTAAGTAAAAAATTAATAATTTTAATGAAAGATAAAAAATGTTTAAAAAATATCAAGAAACATAGGCATCGAATTTCAACCACAAAACAAAGGATAAGATGATGTTTGATGTGCGGCATGCAAAGCTTTGGTTCTTCAAAAGTAAATTTTGAAGGATATAAATAAATAATTAGGGTTAAAATATTTTTGGGTAAATTATACTTTTAGTACTTAAACTATCAGTTTCGGTTCGTTTTAGTACTTATACTTTCAATTTTTTTAAAATCATACTTAAAGTTTAATTTTTATTTCATTCTAGTACTCATCATCAAAAACTTTAGTTTTTATTTTATTTTAGTACTTCGGTCAAATTTAATGTTAAGTTTTGAAAAGGTTAAAAATTTAGGTATTAAAACATATCAAAACTAATAGTTTAGGTACTAAACGTGGGTACTAAAATGAAATGTTAGGCATAGTTTTAAAAGGTTTGAAAGTCTAGGTATTAAAATAGATTAAATTTAATATTTTAGGTACTAAAGGAATAATTTTCTCAATATTTTTATACTAATTTTTTTATATATTAAGAATTTGTGATATATAAATTTCAACACATTTATATAATTCGATATTGTATCATATGTTATATAGGGTTTTAATTATCAGGTAAAATGATAAATAAATCTGAACGTTATTACTTCATTTAAATATTTGGGTAAACTATGAGAATAATCCCTTTTGTCTAGGGTCTGTCTGACTTTGGTCATCAATTTAAAAATTAAGGGTAAATGGTTCCTAATATTATCGGTCTGTCCAATTTAATTCCCTCTGTTGTTAACACTTAACGAACATGAGACATAGCTGAGAGACTAAAATCGAGTGGGAGTTAACGGCTGAAGGACTAAAATTAAACGAAACGATAACGTTAAATACTAAAATCAAACGGATCGATAACGCTAGGGACCATGTATCCTTAATTTTTAAATTGATGACCAAAATCGATCAGACCGAAAATAAATGTGACTATTCGTGTAGTTTACCAAAAAAAATATTTTTGTCACATTTTTCACTCCAACTTTTTTATATAAATTATATCTTAATTCAAGCTAATTAACTAATATATTTGTTTAATTGAATTTAAAAAGCTTAAAAGTCACATTTATCCCTGTAGTAAACCTAATTTATCATTTTCGTCTCTATATTATTATCGCATTAATTTAATCCTCAAAATTATTCAATTGCATCATGTTATACCTTACACTTAACTTAAAACCCTAAATTATAAATTCTAAGTTAGAGTTTAGATTTAGGGTTTATAGGTTATAGGTTATGATGTTATGGTTTAGGATTTATAATTTAGGTTTTAAGTTAGGAGTAAGGTATATAATGATACAATTGAATAACTTCAAAGACTAAATTGATGCGAAAATACGATAAAGATGAGAGTGATAAATTAAATTTAACAAAAGTTGCCATTAAAAAATTTTATCTTTTCATCATCAAAACCTACGTGTCCAGTATGTGATATTTTGTGGTACTTTATTTTATTTAGTTCATTAAATTTTAAAGAAGATATAATATAAAACACCTCCTTTTTTGCCACGTTTTTATTTAATTATATTTTTTTGGCCACGTTAACGCAAAGCAGCCAAAGTCCTAACCAACTTTCCACCATTACTTACTTCAACTAATTCTGACTATTATTTTGAATAAGTGTATTAAAATAAAATTAAAATTTAGGTATCATTTAATTTTTTTAAAGTTTAGGTACTAAAACGGATCAGTACTGATAATTTAAGTATTAAAATGGATTAAAATTGATAGTTTAGGTACTAAGCACATAATTTATCCGATAAATTAAGATAAGAGTTAATTCTATCCTACATCATTGAATTATTGTTTAAATTTTAATTAATCTTTAAATATTTAAACGATATAATTCAATTTTAAAATTAGCTATTTCATTGATAGCTTACATCTAATATGATGCAAAAAAAAAATTATGATAAGTATATATATTTTAAAATTTTATTTGTATTAAAATTAAAATTTAAACCTTAGTTTGGGAACATCATGTGGAATTAACCTTTTTTAACTTCAATTTTATTTTAGGTTAAATTACGTATTTAGTACTTAAACTATTATTAAATTTGGTATATTTTAGTACTTAAACTCTTAATTTTTCAAATTTATATCTAAATTTTAATTTTTGTTTTATTTTAGCACTCGTGTTCAAAATTTAATGTTATTTTTTGAAATTTTAGGTACTAAAACGAACTAAAACTAATAATTTAAGTACTAAACGTTTTAAATTTTTAACGGTGGATACTAAAATGGAACAAAAACTAAATGTTAGGTATGATTTTAAAAAAATTAAAAGTTTAAATATTTGATAATTTAAGTATTAAAAAATATCAAAATTGATAATTTAAGTAAATAAACAGTTTAAGCTTTATTTTATTATTTTTCCTCTCCCCCAATCTATTTGGCGCGTATATAAACAACCGACGCATTAAAAAACACCGAAAAAGAAGAGAGAGAATGATCAAACAAACGGCAAATTACTTGGAAAAACTGAAGCTGAGAGAGAAGGTGAAAGAAAATTTAGACACCCCCAGAAACAGCAGAAAAAACTGTTTTTTTTTCTTGTTTGTGTAAGAAAGGAGGAAAAGAGGGATAACGGAAGGTTGGTTATTTTCTCTGTTTTTTCGTCTTCTATATAGGAAATTAGACATACGCATCCATTTGATCGAATTACAAACAAGGTTATTTGTGGTTGTTGTTTGTACGTTTAATGGAGCGGAACCCAGAGTCCGATCCCCAACCGGAATGGACTGCTCCGGGATCCGAAACGGGGCTCGAAGGTAAATAGTACTCATGAAATTTTCGTTTTCGGATTTGGGTTTTTTTTTGGATTAGTTTGCTTATTTATGTATTTGATAATGTACGATCTGATATGGGGTTTTCGTTTGAGATGTAGAGCCGGTTTGGAGGTTGGGATTAGAGGGAGGGTCGGAATCATACCCGGAACGACCAGACGAAGCTGATTGTATTTACTATTTGAGGACTGGGTTTTGTGGCTATGGTTCGAATTGTCGGTTCAATCATCCACGTGAACGTGCTGGGGTAATACATATTATTTGATCGAATTATTGTTTTTTTTATCACGAATTCATGATCTTTGGAGTGATGGGATTTCGAATTTTAGGGTTAAGATGCTAAGTTTTCTTTTCCGTGTCTGCAATAGAGTAATTGGGAATCGAAATTTTAGCACAAGTTTGATGATCATATGTTTTGATTGGTGAAAGAAATGTCATGGTGATAATTGCCTTAGGTTATGGGAGGTGGAAGAAGCAGTGTCGGAGAGTATCCGGAGAGAGCAGGCCAGCCAGTTTGTCAGGTACTTTTTGTTTAAACTGTTCGAAAAATTCAAGATATGTATGCCGAAATAGTATGCAATAACTTGCGTTGCTTAATTCTTGTAGATAAAGGCAAGTTAATGTCACTTTTTTTTAAAGGATAGAGTTTTGGTTTTATGTTGTTTATGGCTTTTGTTTTCATTGATTTGTAGTATTATATGAGGACGGGAGCATGCAAATACGGTGCTTCCTGTAAGTACCATCATCCTAAGCTGGGAGGTAGTTCTGTGCCACTGAATTATTTCGGATATCCATTACGCCTGGTTTGTATTACCTGACATTAACATGAAATTTAGATGCGTATTGTTAAGTTTGCATATAATTTGATCAATCTTAAGAACAGGGTGAAAAGGAGTGTTCATACTATGTAAAGACCGGGCAATGTAAATTTGGTGCAACATGTAAATTCCATCATCCTGCACCGCCAGCTATGCAGGTTCCAGTACCATCTCCAGCACCACAAGTTGCGCCTGCACCTACACCAGTTCCTTCTCCAAGTGTGTATTCCACAGTGCAGTCACCATCTGGCCCTTCCTCCGAACAATATGGAGCTGTAATGGCAAGGCCTCCACTGATGCCAGGCTCCTATGTGCAAGGCCCCTATGGTCCTTTGCTACTTTCCCCAGGTGTTCCAAGTTGGAATCCGTATCTGGTAGGTTTTATTCAGTTCCCTCAACATTTGAGTATACTGTTAAATTTTTATGTTTGTAGTTCTTAATGCGCTTGATGCAGGCACCTGCCAATCCTGGTACTCAACCCACTGCTCGATCAAGCTCAACTTTTGGGGCAACACCATTATCTCCTTCAGCACTTGCCTATACTGGATCTTATCAATTTGTATCATCCAATTTTCGGCCTTCAAGTAGTATTCAAGAGGATGAGTCTTTTCCAGAGAGACCTGGGCAACCAGAATGTCAGTATTATATGAAGACTGGTCGTTGCAAATATGGATCCTCCTGTAGATATCATCATCCACCAGAAGTGTTTGCACCAAAAGATGTCATCCTCAGCCCTCTTGGTCTTCCACTTCGTCCCGTAAGCACTTCATAAATTTTCCTAGAAATATTATGATGCTTTATACAAGATTGATTTAAGTTTGGTACATAATACCGGTCAATGATTGCTCAATTGCTTTTGCAACAGTTGATTATTTCTGTTTTTCTTTGGCATCTATTGGACATTCACATAACTAGAAGCTTGTTGTCTAGTATGTATTAACTTTTTTAGCAAGTAAGCCTCATTCTCAATATCCTTTCATTGGACACAGTTTAACTATTTGTTTCCACTCGATTTTGTAATATATTGGGTGACTAGCATGGCAAACGTCATCTTATGCCAATTCTTGGAGTCTTTAACTTGAACTTTGTTCTAGGAAAACATGTTTTGGTTATATGTACGGCAGATAAAGCAAAGCTTGATGAAAGGGAATGTGTTCGCTGGATTTTCTGAGGTTATTCATGTTAATGTATTCATACATATACTTGTAGCTGAAAACTGCAAAAGTTTGAAGAAGCTACAACGGAATCTGTTGCTTTGGTCCTGGTGTATTAGCTTCCTTTCTTGGTTTCCTTCTTCCGATGTTTTTTAAACCGGGCTATTTAACATTAGGACATGCTATCATCTCGTTACATGAATTTCTGATTATGTTTTATTCTATGGTTTCTTTTCAGTACATTAGCTGTGTGACATATATTGAGTTGTTTCCTCATAAGCCATTGTTCGTCTACTCATTTCATGTGTTTTCTATCAGGGTGCACCACCTTGCACTCACTACTCGCAACATGGAGTGTGCAAGTTCGGAGCGGCTTGCAGGTTCGACCATCCTATGGGAATGTTAAGTTACAGTCCATCTGCGTCTTCTCTTGCTGATATGCCTGTTGCCCCCTATCCTGTTGGATCCACAATAGGCACTCTAGCTCCTTCATCCTCATCTTCGGATTTACGACCCGAAGTTCTTTCAGGGTCTAGCAAGGATTCTGCTCCAGCCATAATGTCATCATCGGCGAGCGCTTCAAGTGAATCGGTTGGTCCAGTTTTCTCCAAAGGTGCACCTGTTCGTCATTCACGCACACAACAGAGCAGTCGGAGTTCTGCCCCTTCTACTGGCGGTGGCAGCGACGAAGACAGTGAGCCACATGCTTCAAGCTAAGAGAAAGGAGCAACCACCTCAATCCTGTTTTTTTTTCGATCGAGGTCATGGTTCCATCATTATATTTTCTTGTAACTATCATAGGATATATTTCATCTCAAATAAGCCGGTGACCAAACCGTAAAAAATTCAGCAAAACCCTATACACCATGCTATTGAATAACCACCGAGGAACCCGCATTTACATCGGGGAGAACCGAGTCAACTCATCCAGTTTTCCAAGTCCATAGCATTTGTTTATGGAGGAAACAAATATAGGATCCTTAGCATTCTTCCCTCAACATCATCTGTGTTGTTCACCCCCATCATTCTCGGATTTTAGGTTCAATATCGGGACGAGTTCCGGATTCAGCCTAGAAAGGAACTTGATTGCCTTGTTGCCCCTAACCCCACGTTTTATCTGTGGTGGATGTGAAGAAAATAATTTATGAACAAACTCTCAACGAAAGTCATACATATGTATGGGCGTAGATACATACATAATCATGTTGTGAAAATGGACATGCTTTGACATTGTTTGGTACATCATTTATGTGAATTATTTTTCACTGTAATGTTTTCAGCAGAAATTTGGAAGGATGAGGGGAAATGAAAAGAAAATTATGTTTATGCATGTATGTTATTGTCATTAATCATTCTATAAATATTTTAAAAAAAATAAAAGAAACTTGTTTATTTATTTTCCTATGATACAATTAAGATAAATTTTTTAAAGGTTTAATACTTGAGTAAGTGTTAAAATTATATCATTTTTTTCGAATACGTGCGTTTGATTCTTTTTGCAAATAGGTGTTTTTGATTCATTTTAATACCGAATAACATTGTAAATGTTGCCATTTTAGGCTTTAATTTTCCCCGTTAAAAAACATGTCACAATATGATATTTTAAAAAAATTATTTAAAAAATAAAAATAAAAATTATATATTAAAAAAAATAAAAATTTTAAAATAACTCTAAAACTTTAAAAACTTTCATTTTAACCCTTAAATAATATTAGCCATCGCCTTTTGTCGTCGACGAAACTCTGTCCATCCTCACCTCCCTCGTGACCAAAACTCTTATGAAATTGTGATCGGTCGACCTCACCTTCATTTTGAGGGTTTTTTTTATAATTTAAGAAAAGTTAATATTTTTTTTTATAAATGTCATAATATTTTAATATTTTTTAAAAAATAATTTTTAAATCACAATATTATGATAGGTGTCACTTAAAGGAAAATAAACGCCGTTGTCAACCTAGACACTTAAAATGATATTGTTTGTAACGTTAGACATCGAGATGAGTAGAAAAATACTTTAGAGGCACTTATTCAGAAAAAGTAATATAGTTTAGACATTTATTTTGGTATTAAGTCTTTTTTAAAATATAAAATAATTATTAAATTTATCAAAAGTTATAAAATAATTATATATAAATAACTAGTAAATTTTAAATCAATAAATATTATGTATAATTCTTTTTATGATTGATAAGTTTTATACTTTTTACACAATTTTTTTTTTAAGTTTGAGTTGACAAATAATTTTTTTGACTAAAGGTTTTAGATTTATTTATAAAATAAATATCTCGACTAGCCCTAACAAAATTAGTGGATAATTAATTTTCTTATTTTTTTAATTTCGAATATTTTTATTTCTTTTATATTCTAAATATTCATCGATTAATTATTTATTTTTAATGCTCGGATAATTAATTAGTGGATATATATATATATATATATATATATATATATATATTTCCCTTTTATTTACCTTCTCTCTATTTTTTGGGATCGAATACCGTCCTTAGTTCTTAAACAACATAACATGTTCTTTTGTTCTTCACTTGTCGATCTGTCCGGAGTGACGCGATCTTTGTCTTCGACATGCACTTGAGATCGTGTGAAGCTTAAGACAGGAAAACACTTGGTAAAGTTTGAATTTTTCTCAAGGGAAACAGTGATTTTGTGAAAAAGGGGGTGAAAGTAGGATGACGTGGAGTAATTCTTGAAGAATTGTGTTAAAGCTTGGGTTTTTAAATCTAGGTTTCCTTCTTGGGTTTCGATTATGGGTGGTGGTGGGGTTTTCCTTGTTTCGGATCATCAGAGAAGGAAGAGACTAATGGTGGGGCTCCATTAAGAACTGAGCAAGAAGGATTCAGCTAAAGATGGCTCTGTTGGACAGTCTCATCATGTTAATAGAGTTAGTTTGGGTAAATCAATTTCATTCTTTTAGCCCAATTTTGCTTCTGTTGATATGAATTTGTTGGTTTTTGATCAGCTGTTTGAATATGTTGGTAGCTTGATTTGATGAACTTATGGGGGGTGCATTTGATTGAATTATATGGCTTATGGATTTATCTATAGTTTTAGCTTTGAGTGTTGGTTTTGTTGGTATACTTGTTTGAATTTTACCCTATCTGGAGGGCCTGAGGAATAGTTTGAGAGATCTGGTTTTAGTTTTCGATACATAGGTTTTCGGATTTTGTTTTAATTTATTGTTCATCCATAATTGTGATGTTAAGGTAGAATAATGCTAGTAAATGCATTTTAAGTGAGAATTGGAATGTTCCTGCACATGTTGTAAGAATGTAGTGAAGTAAATGGTCTATAGAGGTTTCTCATTTCACTTTGATGTTAAACCGAGCATCGAATTTATAAATTTTGAATCGTATACAATCATATCGAAGAACTGTATAACAGTGCAAAGTTCTAAAGTTATAAGAGAGACCGTCTCTGTTTCCGGATGACTCAGTTTTATAGCATTCATACTCTCTTTTACTCTTTATGGTCTCAATTATGGGAAAACGGCATTTAAGTTTTGTTCTGCTCCTTTAATTGTTATTCTAGATATCTTTCTTCTTTCATCTTATCTGGTTTTGTGATTCATTATCTGAACAGAAAATCAAAATCTCGGAGTGGTTCTGATTCTAAAATGGAACCTGCAATATCTAAAAATGGACCGACAGAAAATATTGCGGCCCAAACATTTACATTTCGAGAGCTTGCTGCTGCCACAAAGAACTTTAGGCAGGAATGTCTGTTGGGGGAAGGTGGCTTTGGACGTGTTTACAAAGGTCGTTTGGAGAGTACAGCACAGGTCTGTAACAGCCTTGAAACAAATGCCAATCTCTGTGTGTTATAAAATTTCCTATTTTATGGGATTGTACTCAAGTTGTTTGCTTTGTATGATAGTCTTGGGATCCGAGTGATGTTAAATGCTCATTTGCAGATAGTTGCCGTCAAACAGCTTGATAGAAATGGTCTTCAGGGAAAGAGAATTTCTTGTTGAAGTTCTCATGCTTAGCCTCTTACACCACTCGAACCTCGTCAACCTGATTGGTTATTGTGCTGATGGCATTTACATGGTAAGGATGCCCATCTTTTGGTTTTCATGTTACTTGCACTCCGCTAGCCCTTGCGTTAATTGGTCCGTCAACATAAAAATGAATCACTTAGTAAATTGCACCGAGTTTGTAGTGTTATTACCAAGTTATGTGTGATGAAGCTGCTTGGTCGACTTTGGTATAACACCACCTCCTTATAGAGGTTTAAGAGGCTATTAAGAGTTAATACCTTTTTAGTAAGATTTTTGAGATTTGAAGAATTATAATGCAGGTAGAATAATTTTTGTTCGACAAACTGTTTTTCGTTACTGATTTCCTTAACACCATTTTTAGCTCCCTGAAAGATGTTTGGTATATATTTTAATGCACTGCCTAGCCATTAGGTTGATGCTGAATTTCGCTACATGGTGTTCTATACTACTGCTAGATTTGCTAGATATAAATGCCGATTGGTAACATGAATTAAAGATAAAATGACCCCCTCTTTCGTCCCTATTTATCTCTATCTTTTGTCTACTTATGTGTGTCGAATAAGCACACATAATGAAACTATTTCTATGTATCTGGACATCGGAATTTTAGTATGAATAAGTATGAATAATAAGCAATCAATAAGGTTACAATTCAAGAATCGCAATTTTGGTGGACCACAAATTTTTTTAATTTTGTTTTTAGATCTTCCACGGGCAAGGAACCTCTGGGCTGGAATACAAGAATGAAGATTGCAGCTGGTGCAGCCAAGGGATTGGAATACTTGCATGATAAAGCTAATCCTCCCGTTATATACAGAGACTTAAAATCATCGAACATCCTTCTTGACGAAGGCTACCACCCCAAATTATCCGATTTTGGTCTTGCAAAACTGGGTCCTGTTGGTGACAAAACCCATGTGTCCACTCGTGTGATGGGCACTTATGGTTTTGCTCCAGAATATGCAATGACTGGCCAGCTCACTCTAAAATCTGATGTCTATAGTTTTGGAGTCGTCTTTCTCGAGCTTATCACAGGGCGCAAGGCCATTGATAGTATGCGTGCTCCTGGAGAGCAGAATCTCGTTGCATGGGTAGGTATTTTTTCTTTTCAGCTGTGCCATAGTTCAGACATTAGAGATTACTTCCGAAATTTATTGCTACTTTGACTTAAATCAAGTCATTTTGTGATTCTTTTCTCTCTTGTTAAAATGGGGCTCTGTAGGCACGGCCACTTTTCAAAGATCGTAGGAAGTTTCCAAAAATGGCTGATCCGCTACTACAAGGTCGTTATCCAATGCGAGGACTATACCAAGCTCTTGCAGTTGCAGCGATGTGTTTGCAGGAACAAGCTGCTACAAGGCCTCTAATAGGCGATGTTGTGACGGCCGTTACGTATTTAGCCTCACAAACCTATGACCCGAATGGACCCAGCAATCAAAGCAACAGGGTCAGTTCATCAACTCTGAGGCTCAAGGATGATAGGAGTATGCCAGATGGGTTGGATAGCCCCGGTGGTCGTGGACAGCATGGTTCCCCCTCTACCCATAGAAATTCACCTGATTACAGGAAGAGGCATCATGCTAGAGATTCGAGCACCGGTGCATTGTTGGGTAGGAATCAAGCTGGTGGGGGGTCAGGGAGAAAATGGGATTCAGATGATTCAGAACGACAAGAATCTAATCGAGACAGCCCTGTGAATGCTGTGACAGCAAGGGAAACGCCACATAATCGTGTTCTTGATAGAGAACGTGCTGTTGCAGAGGCCAAAGTATGGGGTGAGAACTGGAGGGAGAGAAAACGAGGAAACACAATGGGGTAGCTTTGATGGTACAGATGATTGATGCTACCTGAATACTATTCATGTCATTATGCTCTTCCAATCAAAGGCATCATTTATCGATTTAAGGGTTGTCACCGGAAAAGAAGAAGACTTCGAAGATAAACCATCCCCATATCTACCCACAGGAAATAAGTTGCATTTTTCTAAGTTGGGCTGTTGTTGCTTGTCCTATGGTTCGAAACCGAATGCTTCAGTTACATGGTTGAAGGAAGAACACAGTTAAAAGAACGGATCGAGAGTAGTTAATCGATTTGGAGAATTCACACAGGTAATCCGCAGGCAAAAACAATATATGCAGCATGTTAATCTATGTATTTATTGCGTGTGTATTTTTTTTTTCTAGTTTCCTGCTACAAGAGATGTTGGGAAGATGGTCGTAGTTTTGCCATATCATTGTTGGTCTTGTCTATGGAAAACTTACTAGTTTTGTGTGGATATCTATCTCATCAGTCTTATCGTTGAGTCCGACTATCGGACTCATAGGTTTGTGTCATGTATGTATATCCAATCGATCCTTCTTTCTTCTTTCGGCTTTATACAAAGGGGTTTCATTATATTGTCATTCATGTATGATCATCGCCATCATATTGTGTAACTACCCGTTTCATTTTACTATCGTTAATGCGTCATCACCGCCATCATCGTGTTCTTTATGTAATTTACTCCGGTCTCTCACTCTTAATCGTCTACATTGGCTTGCCTTCACTTTGATGGTTTGAGTTCCGTTACTGGAAAGATTGATTGTTGGTATCCGAATCCGATTTAATCCGATTTACTCGAAACGAACAAAACTGAATGTGTTTCAGCTTGTACGAAACAAGATAAAAACATACATTATTTTCGTATGAAAAGTACACATACTCTCATCTAAACACGCCACAAAGAAAATAATAATTACTATTATATAATTGTGAAAAAACTCTGATGTTTCTAAGGCCATTTTTATTTCAGTAGAAACTACAAAACAACTGCTACGAACGTACTACATTTCAGACCGCAATCATTAGATCGAATCGAATCACACCGGGCTTGAATTTCCGGCAACTTGAACTCGCCAACCGAAACAGTATATATACAATGAGTTGAGTGCCATCTGTCCCGAACTTACCGTTCCAGAAATCAGTATAGCGAAAACAGCCTTCATATGGACCTGCAGAAAGACATCGAGAGTTTCTGAGAACATCATGTTGAGCCCCGGTTTCAGGATGCATTTCGGTACATATTCCGGTACAAAGCATTCAAAAAAGCATTTCTATTGATACTGCTCATGCGATTGCTTCCGAGAAAAGTTATGCTTTTAAATTATTGCTCACCACACCATACAATAGATGAACGGTTAATGCGACGATTGCAAACAGGCCTAGGGTAAATGCAAATGGCGCGGCAATCATAATTGCTTCTCTCTTCATGTCCTGAATCTACAAAATCACGAGGCACGAAATCAACGTCGTCAATCTACAAAGGATGTGTTACTCCGACTCTTCATTTAACTGAAGTATGTCAACACCGTGTCGGATACATTTTTAGACACGAGTATAAGGATATAACCCTCTGAAGACCCCAAAAACATGGAAAAACTTCAAAAATTGAACATACCCGTGCCTAGTACATACTCATTCTACAATCTACACCCACACCCTATATGACAATATAGATAAGTTTACAAGTATACTTAACAATATATAATTTTTTAGCCACATGTTGGTCCTACGTTGCTCCGACTGAAGTACAACCAAAATCCGACACATTCCGAATACAATATAGATAAGTTTACAAGTATACTTAACAATATATAAGTTTTTAGCCACATGTTGGTCCTACGTTGCTCCGACTGAAGTACACCAAAATCCGACACATTAGAATATGGATATATCCATCCGAGTCTGTTCAAATTTTCGATAAGGCACAAAAGCATACCAGTAGTTGCTCAAGGAAGAAGAAATAGCATATCGTGCTAATCAACACGAGAACCACGAAATCTGCAGGCACTGCATATTGAAGTAGTCTTTAAGTTAAAAACAAGAAAACAACCAATTCTCAGGTCAGACTAACATAGATAATTGACATGCTTGGTGGAGGTTGACATAGAGATCTAAATAAAAGAGAACAGTGCTCGATATATATATTAAACAAATATCTATTCAAGAAAGTATTCGAAGAGAATGCCATTAGATTCAAATTCATTATCAAAGTGACAGAGTTCAAGATCAAACAATTATTAGATGCAGATAAGAAGCTGATATACCTCGCAGTTTCGATGGAAATCTCTGTGGATTAACGTTCTGTCTATTACCCTTCGAGCCATAGTAGGCACCCGTAGCAGAGTTACAGGTAAGTTCCTCACTTCTTGCCCGCATACCTCACAGTTTTTGTTTCCTCTCGTACTAAACCATTAATGGCGCACGCTTCATGCACAAGTTGTAGGGCACCTTTGCAACTGCATTCCATTTTGAGTTGTGTTGCTCATCACATTCATCAAAGCAGATCTGCACACAGCTTCCTCTTCCGGAATCTCCTCATCATCTTTCTGCAGGAACAGGATTGATATCTGCACATTCGCATGAATAGAAAAACCAACCTCAAAACTCAAGACCAATAAACCAACAATAAATGAAGTCAAAAAGTTGAAAAACACGAGTTTCAAATTCACCAATTTGCATGGTCATGTATTTGAATTAACACACATGTACGACACATATCTGGACATGGTTACGAGTATACGATACTCCCAAGGGCCATCAAAATACATAGAAAACCCTTAAAAGACCAACATATTGGTGCCGACAAATACTTGTATCCAGCACTTACATCCAAGTTCGACCAAACACAAGTTGAAGCAATGACACTAAAAGGTTACTCGAATAATAGGGATGAAAAAATTAGAAAGTAGTCATTAATGTATTTACAACTACATACCATCACTGTTATCTGCAGGGACATTCTCTTTACGAATCGAAAGATGCGGATCTCACTATAACATATTTCGTCCGGGCACTGAAAGGGACCTTGAAACCACTGTAGGCTTTGCTGTTTCTGCATAAAATTACAATAACCATCTCAAAATGCTTTAAACTACTCTTACAAAATTGATTTGGATCTTTTCCCCATAAGCTACAGGAAGATCTAAAATACTATGTTGCTTCGGCTCTTCACGATGCTTGAAATATCCATGTCCGACATATACTTGGACCCTCTTCATAACGCGGATCATATCGGACACATACTGTACTCAATACTCGCACAAGTGTCATAGTAACATAGATTAAAAAAAGCCTTAGAAAGTGAAAATATATACTCGTGTTTTGCTAAAAACGAATTTAGCCGTTTCTTTACTACAATGATATTGATAGTGGTTCATTTGGTATTATTATTTTTTTAATTGCTCCTTAATTGTTAGTTTTGTGGTTGATTTGTTCGTTTGATTCATTTTTGTGCAGTACATTAGATTTTGGAAATTGCACTAAAATGACATAATTATGCAGTTTTTTCGTAATCAAGGTTGGATTAGTGGGCATGACTCCGGGCATGACGCATCTGACAAGGCGATGAGTCAACACCTTTTAAAAGGTCCAGTCAATGCTTCTAAAAGGACGAATAGATCAGTCACACGTTTTTGCAATTCAAATTTGAGTTAAACTCATATTTTTATGATATTAGTTAATATTTATTTTATCTTATTCTTTATTTTTAATATTTTGTTTATTTTGTTTTTAGTATTTTAGTTAAATAGTTTAAATATTTTCATTAGGAATTATCTCTTTATTTTAGGAATTATATTTTCCTTATTTTTAAGATTTTAAAAGCTATAAAATCATGGTTTCAAGTCTCAATCACGTTTTCGGTCATTTCATGTTTACCGCGATTGCGGCCATAGCGGGCGCTATTACGGCCGTAGCGGGTATATCAAAAGGTAGCGCTACCGCTATTTCGCGGGCGCTATCGCGGTTGCGGACCGTTATTTGAAACCCTAATAAATACCCTCTCAGAATAAGTCTAGAAACACATTCATAAATTATTTTTATTCTTTCCTCTGATTTTATAAAAGTTTTATTTTCTTTTATATTCTAAAATTTTTCTTTGTTTTTTTTATTTTTAAAGATCCTAAGTATGATTGTTATACTTAGCTAATTTCTCTAAAGTCGAGGGCTGAAGCGATGACTGAATCCCTATAGTGAGGATTGAAAAGCACTAAAATAATTTTAAGTTATTTTCTCAATTTTATGGAGAAATAGGATTGGTAATCGACCTATCTTTTTAAAATCAAAACACTTTTTAATCAAAAAGTCAACTTTGGCTCGAAAGTTATTTTGATTTATAGTTGAGAAGAAGAAACGGCTGGTAGCAAGTTTGACTTTATGTGAACACACTTAATGGCGGTCTGTTAAGGGAAATTGAGTGGCAGTTCAATAAATAGATTTTGGGTTATCGTTCACAAGAGAGAGAAATAAGTCACAGGAGTTGGGCTCAGTAGACTGTAATCGGTGAATTACCGAAACAAAAATTTATTCCGTTGATCAACAAGAATTTATTTTTTAAAAAAAACGGAATTATTTTGACAATAAAACGATACTTGTCAGATATTTTCAGTTTTCACCATGCTAATGAGGTGATCGATCTAAGAAATGCAGTCGATTTCCTAGGAAAGCCAAAGATCAGTCTTGACATGAAGGATAATGTAATCTTTTAGCATAATATATATGCCAGTGTCCGAATTTTGTTCCAAAAGTCGGTCGAATCAAATTTTCAATATCTACAGCAGGAAAAACGTTAAGACGAATCAAAAACAGCCAGAACTATACGATACGTACATTCAATTTGTGTTGTTCGCCAGCCATCCTTTCTGAGCCAGGCATGGTAACCGACGGGGACAATTCGATGCCGGAGTAAAGGCAGCGATGTACATCTTTTCCAAAAGAATGGGGATAGAAAACCAGCCATAATCGGACTTTTGGGACTCGGCTGTTGTCGGAGTGAGGAGAGAGCTCCGCTCGCCATCGGCCGTGTTACCTCTTATCTTGAAGCTTAAGCCACGCAGGAAGCCTCCAGGTGAAGAACCACCTTTGCTGGAACCCTGGGATTGAAGTAAACCCTTTCCACTACGGCTACCAAATCCTACCGCTCTAGGAGGTATTTGCAGCGAAAGATCCGACGACCGACCGCTTGTTCCGGGCTTAGAAGGTTTGCTATGTAAGGGTTTCGGTGAATTTGCCTGCAATGTTATGAAAATTCAACTCGATTCAAGTAATTTCTTCAGCAAAGCCGACAAGAATTTCAACATTACCAGAAACACAAACGAAATCAGAAACATCAAATTCATAACCCCAAACAGCATGAGAGATCATCAAACAAAGAACTAGTAATGAACATTAGAAAACCCATCTCTGGAAACTAAAGCAAAAACATAATTTGTCTACAAATCCATAAATATATGTAAAGGGAAAAGAAGAACCTGAGAAGAATCCTTTGAAATTCCATTGCTGACAGCTCCAGATTCTGCTTCAGTTGCATGCATGGTAATTCTTGGATAAGCTCACAAGAAACCCACTGATTAAATTGCAAGAATTATAAATAAATAAATCAGTCAATAATTCATGCAACCCAACCAAAATAATGAACGAAGAATCAAAAGACGGTGCGAAGATACACGAAAGAACAAATCTTTCCCTCTATTATAGAAATTTTTCATATAGTAATTCTATAATAAAAAGGTTAATACTTAGTTAGACCCTATACTTTAGGTGATATTCACTTTGAACTTTCTTTCTTTCTCTTTAACCCGTTTGACTCTTTTACTTTCTTTCATCAATATAATTAATCTACCACCATTTTTATTAAAAAAAGTATCATCATGATTAATTCTAAAAAATAAGAATTTATAAAATCATTTAAAATATAAAACTTCCTAAAAACAAAAACAAAAAGATCTTATAAAATTAAATTATTTTTCTTGAAATTTTAATGAGTTTTGGTGAAGGTTGACGATGGTGACGTATTAAAAGAAGATGATCAAGCTAATGAAAAAAGTAAAACAGTCAAAGAAATGAAATTTTTTATAAATAGAAGGACCAAATTTGATATTATACCTAATAAATATAATATAATAATTGAGGAATTGATAAAATGGTCTGGTCGGAGTCAATAACTTGGGAAGATGAGCAGAAATTGTCTGAAAGACAGCCCTGCCTTTCTTTCCTTTGCCGCGATGTCTTCTTTCATTTCTACTCTCTCGCGACTAGATGTAGATATTACTCGCTTTAAATAGTCGCCACGTCAATTTAATACAATGACTATTTTTTAAAATAATTAGCGATAATTACATGATAATATTATTTCAAAATTTTGTTTATGGTAAAATATATAAATTGTCTCTTTATTATATAATATTATTTTAAAAGTTATAAAATAATCTTTTACTATATAATGTTATTTTATTGAATCTCTCGACTATTAAAAGTTATAAAATAGTCACCTAATTATTTATTATATTCAAAACTCGTCATTTTTTGTTAAAAAATTGACGGTATTCTAAGTTGATCGTTAACCTCTTCACTGTGATATAAAATATGATCCCAAAATCTCAAACAAGTATCGTATGTTATCGTGTTAATATCTAACTTAATAACTTTAATAACCTTGAGGTCGTGGATCGAGTCCCTGAAGGGCATTTTTAATTTGGAGGTCTCTTACGGAAGCTGCTCTCAACCTAGTGTTGGGGGCAACCTACTATCTTACCTTCCCTTACCCCATTACATAGTAGAACAAGGGACATCCAAAAATCCAATAAGTGTTTGAGATTTAGGAATTTTAGTTATAAGGTTAAGTTTAAATGCTATAACTGTCACTCTTGGTATGTAATATGTAAATTCATATGTAAATATCAATTGAATCTTAAATATATCCCGATCCTATACTAGGGAGCCACTCCGACCTAAACTTTTTTATCAAAAAAATCATAAAATAACATACATTTAAATAATATAATTCAATCAAAATTGAATCATCACACATTCATGATCATACAGGTGAGAGTGGGCGTGTTAACAAATGAAGCAAGTGGGTGAGTTGGGTCCATGGTTATTATCACACATTCATTACTCCAAAATAGTTAGGAAATTTCCCAAATACAAACAACCCACAAAACCCCTCATAAATATGGGTAAATTATTCATTTAGTACTTACACTATCAATTTTAGTTTGTTTTAGTACTTAAACTTTCAGTTTTTCAAAATATACCAAAAGTTTAGTTTTTGTTCCATTTTAGTATCCCGCCGTTAAAATTTTAGTTTTTGTTTTATTTTAGTACCCCGTTCAAAATTTAACGTTAAATTTTGAAACAATTGAAAGTTTAGGTACTAAAATAGATCAAAACTGATAGTTTATGTACTAAATACATAATTTACCTTAGTATTTTTTGGGATTTTTTTTAAAAAATGACCTTGTTTTTACATTTTTTTAGGATCGGGTCTTAAGTAGGAACTTCTGAAAACAGTTATGAGGAGGGTTTTGGAATTAAAAAAATTAAAAATCGATTCACATTCATACCATTTTGAATCTTGATCAATTTTCATCCGCATATCAAATGATTTCTATGATAAAGGAATTGTTGTTATTACTTGAGGACCCACGTTCGAGTACTATAGATATTAAGATGTGAGTGTTCGAGTACTATAAATATCAAGAGTGTGAACGTTCAATGTCAAAAGGTTGAAATTTATCTGTGAACATATATTGTCTTATATTTATCTCATATTAATAAAAAAAAAATCAATTTTCAAAAGTAATATCTCGAATATTAGATATAAATTTTAATTTGGACAGAGAATCGGAACCAAATGATCAATAAAACTATTAACTTAATAGATGAATGAACAAAGATAGAAGAAGCCATATCCTCCACAACTGACAGAATTTACAAACTTCATTGACAGACAACAAAGATTTACAAAGGACTAAACAAACCATTTGTCTGTCGGGGTAATTCGAACACTACGCTGTGTCGTAACCTTATCCGATATCATGTATCTTCTTTGGGTATATCGTCCGAAATTTCGTCGTTTTCGAGTTGCTTCAGCTTCTCCAGGCTGTCGAGATCTTCTTTGGGTACACAACCTACAGTTAAATGCAACGTTAAAGCTCAAAGTTTCTTAATGCTTGTTTGGGAAGATCTTTTTCTATGCAATGAGAGGACATGCCTGTCACATTCGAGGTCGGTTCGCTGCGGACTGATGTATGCAAATAGAAGCTATAACTACAAGAAGGTTCAATTGATTGAGGTCGAAGTCATCCCATAGAGTTGGATCGACGAGTTCGTTGAGCTTATTTGTTCTGATCAAAGGCATTGCCTGCAAGAATTCGTAGGATGAAGTTGAACCATCGGGAATGCTCGGGATACCGGACATGATAGCAGAGTAAAATTCAAGAAACCTACCCACATAACAAGGCTTTTCTGAGAGCTATCGAGAGCTTGCCTCCTGGTAATGAGTTCCAAAAGTATTACTCCGAAAGCATAGACGTCGGTTTTTTCGTTTACCACGCCGTCCATGAAGAGTTCAGGAGACAGTTACGAAGGGCGAAAAATTTTAAGGTTCAGAAATCAAGCGGGATTCGGAATTACACACCCAAATGTGCCTTCCACTTTAGAGACAATGTGATGAGTCCATTGATCAGGTAACCACTTTGAAAGACCAAAATCAGATATCTGAAGTTCCATTGGAAACTCAACCTTAAGCAATATACTTGGTGAAAAGCATTCTATATATACATAACTGATGGTTCGTTTTACTGCGATTGCAGCATACATGTTCACGGTTTGATATGTACCTGAGCGTCGAAGTCCTCAGAAAGCAATATGTTTGCAGGTTTGATGTCTTTATGGATGATTCGCCTCTGGCAACCTTCGTGAAGATAGCTAAGCCCTTCGGCAGCCCCTAGGGCAATTTTGAATCTGAGGCACCAGTTCAGCTTCTCCTTTGACCCTGTATCTGCATGGCAAAGACGTTGTGGTGCTAGAAAATGTGGAGAAATCAAACATTAAGAGGCTTTGGAGAAACGAACCGTAAAGTAATGATGCCAGGCTTCCGTGAGGAGTTGAAGAACAAGATGCATCCCGCCATCAACTCCGTACCCTATCAATTGAACGATATTTGGATGGTCAACATGAACTATAATCCCCAGCTCAGACAAGAAATCCACTGTCATCTCTTCAGGTAAACCTCTGGTTAGCCGCTTAATCGCTACATGCTCTCCGTTTTTCAACTTCCCCCTGTAAACTTGAGCATACCCTCCTCCTATCAAATTTTCTTTCGAAAACAAAAGATTCGAACAAAAATTCATCAGCCTCCGAAGCAATACGAATACATAAAAAGAACATGTTCTTTCGAGCGTAATTTGACCTTAAACCAAATCGAAAGTAAGAGAAAAAAGAAATATACCATGACTGAAGTTATCAGTTGCTTTCTGAAGTTCCGTGAGCAAGAAGTTCTTCCAGGAAGATTTAAAACAGCACAGCTGATCAGCATCCAGAAATGGAGTTACTTGTGGAACAATGTCACCTTTCATTCTTTTGTCATGTTTTCTAGGGAGCTTCGGTTTTAGAGGTATGCTATGAGAAGAAGCTCCGGGTCTCTTTTTCAGTACGCCAAAGAAATTCCAGTTACCGTATGCAGCCGAGTGATGATGATTTTTCAAGTCCGACGAAGTGCTGGCATTAGAAATCAGTACCGACTCCGCAGATTATGTCGATGCCACACTCGAATCTATAGATTCTACTGGTACTTGCCGTCGAGCATTCCTCTAGAGCATCTATCGAAGACGGATGATGTACCCTCTCTACGTCGACAAAACCCCCCCCCCAGTACTAACACGATACAGAATTATAACATTAGCAAATACTATGATTATCATCTCGATCGAACATCGGAGAACAAAGAAATGCATGATTAGCTTACTGAGAGATGAAATCGAGTCGAGGAAACCAGCTCGATCGTGTCTTCTCGAGTGTCCACAGGGCATCTTTTTGCTATTCCCATCGCCGGTATCATCGGAACTTTCGTTATCAATGCAAAGTTCACTGGGGAATAAAAACAAACAGATGGTATCAACAACATATGATAAAATCCCACCATGAGCAATCAATCTAGTACGAACAAAATCATGTCGGTTCATGCAATCACCCTTTTTCGAGATCCAAATCGCAAAATTATAAAAGTTGATATAAATCCGTATTTCAATTACTGGGAAATTGCATGGAATTTCCATGGAACGAAACTTCTAAATGGAATCAAATCAATAAACAAACAAAAACCCAATGCTGCAAAATACAAATAAATCATAAAAAAAGGGGCTGAAAAGGATGAATCTACAATGTACCTTGGATGAGAAGAAAGCTCCTGGGAATCTTCCATGGATGGAGAAAGTAAATGAAGTATTACAGGGACAAAAGAGATGACTCGATGAGAAAATCCTCATGGTTTTTTATTTATTTAAAAAGGTAATACCCCAATTTCGTTAATAAAATTAGGTAATTTCGTGCAGTTTCTTCTTAAATATACGAAAAATAGTGAAAAAGGAATCATTTTGATCCTATATTTAGCATATGTTAAAGGAAAGTGGAAGGCTTGTATGAAACAGGCATTCAGTTCTCTTACCGGAACACCGGCGGTTAAAGCAACGAACTCCTTTGCATTTTGGGTATCTTACACGTGGAATAATCTTTATTTTGGGTAAATTACGTGTTTAATACCTAAACTATCAGTTTTTATCTTTTTTAGTACCTAACTTTCAATTTTTCAAAATCATATTTAAAGTTTAGTTTTTGTTTCATTTTAGTATATGTTCGAAATTTAACGTTAACTTTTTTTAAAAAATGACATTGTCACTAGATCTTGAAATTATTGTTTTCCAAGATCATTAATGTGATGTTTAGCTTTTTGTTGCAAGAAACCTTCTGTGCTCTATAACAATATTATATCTTCTTCTTTGAATTCGTAATCTTTTGAGAATATAGAGCAGTATGCGAGTAACGTTTCAAACGAGAAGGAAGATGATCGCAGCTTAATCACAGTGCATGAACTATGCCGCATTGGTTTTCTAGTAAATCCCATAACTCGCTCTCATATATTCTTTTCCATTCATCAAGATTCTTATGGTAAATCCCATATGTCGCTCTCATATGTTCTTTCCCATTCATCAAGTTTCTTAGTTTGAATGAACTGCGTCCATGGCCACTAAAGTTTGAGTGAATTTTTATTTTGATCAGTTGAGTTTCAATAGTTATATTATAGTCACTGAAGTTATCAATAAATCACAGTTGTTTAACTTAGACTGATTACATGATAGTATGGTACATTAACAAAAAAAAAAAATATAATATCCCATTTTCCTAAGCCTCAAATGTATTTTGGTTTGGGGACGGAAGAACTAAACTAAACATTTGAACAGACCTCAAACACTCGAGTTTTACTTCTCGTCGATGACCACAAAATACGACAGGAGGATTTTAGGGCTCTGTTGAAGCATCTTCTTCGGGAAGGCCAAATATGCGGAGGTTACGATCCATTGATCCAACTTCCAAGTACTTTTCACCTGAACCGAGTTTGACACAAGTTGCTCTACCTGCAAATACAGGAGAATAATGCATTTCCAACTTTAGCTGCAGTCAGGAATAACAATAGACTACAATGAAAAAACCAGACTGGAGGTCGAACCGATCAAAGATATATAAACTACTATCTGATTCTTATAAAGTTTACATATCAGACAAACTAAGGTTCCTGGTCGTTCAACCAGTCCAGCCAACTGGCGGAGTTTAGTTTTTATTCAACGATAGAATGGGGGAACAGAAGACAAACCAGTGCCAGATAAATCAGGTAAAGTTTTGATGCAATTCCATTCTGCTTTGACGCTTCCAACTTGGTAGATTCTGGACGTGCAAAATCAAATTAGTATCACCAAATATCACAAGAAAATAAATTTTGAAATAATATTAAGGAAGTGCAACGATGGAGAAAGGAAATGTCATGTGAATACAACAGTCTTGTTCATTGAATTTAAGTTTCAGTCCACATAGGTATATACCAAGATTTGGAGACCTCAAGAGCCCTTACCGTACATCCGAGCCTGCAATTGCTAGGTAACTCCCACTGACAAAATACAGAATTAAAACTGCTCTTAGATAAAGCTTTTCATGATTAAAAACTTCGATCACAAGAAAAGTTTTGCTCGTTCACAATTCCTCCCCCATAGCTCGAAAGCTACCAATGTGAGAAGCATGGAGTATGTGGGACGAACAAGTATTTTGCAGACGAAATGGAAGTATTATGCCAAAAACATCATCATATACAGGACATCTGTTATCAAGGTATTACATACCAGAGTTTGTTGGTGTATCTTGATCATATAATTCAAATGACCGGAAGTTCTTTAATTTGCGCAGATCCCACAACTTAACACCATCATGTGCTGCAGTCTGGAGGAGTTCAAACATAAATCAGATTGCAGAATTCATGGCCATTAAACTAATTTGCATATTTGGCTAAGTGCTTACTGCAAGTAAGTAACTATTTTCTGAGAAAGAAATGACCGTAACTGCCCCCGTGTGTCCATCAAAGATGGCAACATTTCCCTGACGAATAATAAAATAGTTCATAAAATGAAAGACAAATACACCATCCCAAACATTAAGTTCAGGTCTCATACATAGTTTTCTATATACCCGACTCTTTACATCCCATATTCTAACAGTGGAGTCAGTGGTGCCTGTTCCAAGGATGAGTCCATCGGGATGAAAAGCAGCAGATGTATAGCCCACGGAATTTGAAGGGTCTTCAACCTGTAGAAACAGAAATCTGACTCATGTTAGAGGATTTTCACTTCTAAATAAATCAAAGAAAATTGCAACTATATATTTCCTTTGAAAGTAATAGACATTTCGGGGAAATTTAAAACATGCTAGAACACAGCACTTGCAGTCAATTAGCAAGATTCAAATACTAATAGAAGTTACTTTTTGTTTTATAAGAAAGGGAGCCCTCGTTAAAACCCCCTTCATAACCGTCGAAATACAGCAAAGTATCTCCACGGACATTGGAAGGAGGAAAAGAGTGCCCTGAATTTATTTTACCAATCGGAAAAGTCCCAAAAATACGAAGAACCAGACAGTGCAGATACAACCATAACCAAAAGAGGCACCTCCTACATAAAAAACCAGAAAAACAAAAAGCATTAACCAATTCCTAGTTTCGCTAACTCGTCTGCCTCCCAATTCGCATATCTCAGAATATGCCTCACAATAACATTCCTATCTAAGACTATAGAGACAATTTCCTTCACCAACGATTCAAACATTCCTATCTAAGACTATAGAAGTTACTTTCAGTTAATAACAAATCAATCAATCCATTTACATCACAAGCAATATATAAGATGTTCACTGTAATGGAAAACCTTACAGATCAGAGGGATAGAGGGAGGGTAGGACTAGGACCTTGTGTCAAGCATAAGCCCAAGGAAAGATCATAAAAGCACCACGTTGAGTCAAGGGAGGAAAGATCATAAAAGCATAATAGACACTAGTTAGATGATTATAGCATCCACAAGGCAATTCACACTCATCCTAATGCAGAAGAATGCAGTCAGTAAACTAGTCATCATCTTCATAATTTCTTTAACATGATTTTCAGAGTTAACATTCCAACCTTATTTCTAACAGATCTATTTCCCATTCCCTTAACTTTGGCAGCAATATCTCAAGTCCACTACATGCAACAACCAAATATAACTACCTCCAGCATAGAGAAGTGTAGGAAAGAATATAGTTACATGAAAAGGATTATCTTAAAGGAGAACACACACCTTTGAAAGATTGATATCAATTGATGTGATCCCTGGTTTATTTGTCTTGTGAAGGGGATGGCTAGAAAGTTGGGTATACCTCTCCAAAGCATCGATAGGAGCCAAAGTTGGGGGAATCTGAAAAGAGAACACATGGAAGTGATTGGATGGAGGGAAGTAAAAAGACAATATGAAGATATTGTCAACAAAGACATAGCCAGAGTTAATCAAACTAAACAGGATGAAGAGTACCTGGCGCTTTTTACGCTGTTGTGATAGAGCTGCATTACATTCTGTTAACTCGGTAATAATACTCTCAGAAACCCCAGGGCGTGTTCGCTTCGAACCAGGGCCCATATCTTCACCCTCCAGAGCTATGATCACAAGAATGATTCAACATAATTATAAAACCAATGAATTAAAAGGTTTATATGGACATCAAGATAATCAGAAATATAACCTTATTGTCATTACCTGGTAGAGTGCATGATTCGGCTCTTGTCTAGCTGTATGTAGTTGCTGCTCTAATGCAAAATTGGATAGCATTAAAGCATCCCATTCCTGCAATTTGCGAAGTGGTTCAACATCAAAAGAAAAAGACTAAAGCAAATAGACGTAAAGACATTGAAATTTATTAGTAAGTTTGGCTTTGGTAACTCAATAGAAAATATAAAGGAATTTAAATGAAGTGCAGTCACAAGTAGCTAAAAGTAAAGCTTCAAAGTCGGCCCCCTTGTGAAACCGACAGTATAATTGTTTCAAATTTACACAGAACAAGTGAAAATCTCCCCGTCGAAACTTGAACTATGGAATTATTTATACTAATTCATACATAAATTTTCATATTTATTTATATAAAATATTATATAATATAAAAATAGTATTATGATCTCGAGTGGGCAAAGATATTCTTTTTCAATATAGATCCATATTTAATAACTCAAAGTTAGATATTATTTTAAATAATTAAAATTTTACAATAATATCTTTTTTTCACCTCATAAAATTACAAATAATCAATGTATTAAATATTATAAATATAAAATATTTTAACTAACCAAATTTATTAATATTTTACTGAATCAAACTCTTTGTATATTATTATTATGTTTATAATTTTGAATAAACCACGAAGAATAAAGATTACGAATTATCATTCATTTTTTATTGTTCTAGGGGTATTTTGTTTAGAGTGAGAATCGTAAAAATATCTAAGAATTTAGTTATTGTTCAAAGTGGTGGGAATTGTGTAGTGGAACGTATCTATGCCTAAGCCTATCTAGGCCATGGCTCCTCTATGACCAAAAAGGGTAAATTACTTATTAAGTCACACATTTATTATCTATTTTTATTTTAGTCACTCAACTATTATTTATTTTAAATTGCACTTAATATTATATTTTGATTATGTTTTGGTCTCTCGTCTTTAGAAAAATTAATGGTGATGTTGATGTATCATCATAAGATAATGTCATGACATAATTAAAAATAATTAAAAAAATATCATATTAACATCATTGTTATTTTTTAAGGGTAGGTGATCAAAATACCAAATCGTAAGATTAACAATGATTTTGAAAAAAAAAATTGAGTGACCAATTAAAAAATAAATTAAGTAAAAGGTAGGTACCATATCAACCATAAGCAACCCACTCGACTCAAACCAAAACAAGGTACCATATAAGCGTGGTACATAAGCAAAGGCACATAACCACACCAAGGCAGCAGCCCAACAAACACATGTACGAGCATTCAGAGCCACAAAGGCTTTAATTTTCCAAGCTGCACCAGATTATTATTCAAACATCCAGGAACCAACCAATAGCATGACTCCACGGCAGCAATCCAGCTACAACTTTCTAAACAAATCCAACCAGAACACCAGACATGCTCCCCAGCATATTCTATGCTTTCTAAATCTTATCTTCCACACAACCCTCATCATCTAACAGAGAAACACGAGAGACAGAATCCAACAACCAGCGGCACCAATGTCGGTACAAGCAGGAATCAGTCTGCAACCTATCTTCAGCCTGACCATTCACTTCAAAACTAATAACCCCAACCCACATGTAAAACCCAAAGAGCATGTCCGCGCCATTCCTACACTGCATTTTAGTAAAATGGGTTCCTCTTAAGGCAATCTATCGACTCATCTCAGCCACCACCGAATACCAAGATAACAGCCCGGTCAAAATTTATTATATTTAGATTTTAAAATTATCTCGGTCAAAATATCTTTTTGAAAGAATAAACAAATTAACAACCCATAAAACTATATACTTGATCAACATAGAACAAAAATAACTATAACTCAATAAACTGTAACAAGTGTCCCTGAAGATCGTTAACAAAATGCGAGTGCTGCAGTTATGTTAGTAATATTCTTCTGGTTTTCTTTGCTCCGAATCAGTGGAACACCGTCTTCTCTCCAAACTATCCGTCTTCGCATAAAGCGACTGTCACTTCCACATATAATTTATGTTCCTGTAAAGAAACCGATGATCATCATAACCATCTTACAGTCAATTAGATTCAGTTGATGTTGAAGTGAAGTTAGATGTAGGAAAACATTTCTTAAGGGGAAAAAAGAAGAAGACAAAATCAATTAACCTCTCGTAGAACCCTAGCGGCTAACTCCTCAGCGGTGTCATTTGCGAGAACAGGGACAGTTTTTTGTGCAAGTATCCGACCCGTATCGTAATGCTCGTCAACAAAATTCATTGTTTCACCAGAGTATCTAAACAATCATAAGCAATATCAAACCTTGACTAGCTGATATGGTTCGAAATGCCAAGAATAACATAAAAACATGATACATGAAACTAAATGCAAAAACATAGCTTGCTCCGGAAGCAATAACTGCTTTATGCACTATCATACCATAAAACCTTCACCTCCAAAAGCTGGAAGAAGAGATGGATGGATGTTAAAAATCGATCTAGGATAAGCTCGAATTAACTCCAGTGGTATAAGTTTTAGGTATCCAGCCAAAAAATGAAATCGACTTCAAGTTTCCTGAATCAGATAATCAATCATTCCCGTAAGCAATATCCGGAAAAATAACTGGGTAGACAGGCCAAAATAACTAGGTATACAGGCCAAAATAACTAGGTTGAAAGAAGAAAACAACCCAAGAACCTTCAATAGATCAACAGAAGAAAGGCCTTTGAGCCCATCTTTTGTTTTTGGGAACAAAATAACTGGGATGCCTTTATCTCTCGCATATTGTGCACCTCCACAAGCTGCCATCACACAAAAGAAGAAGAAGAGTGTTACTCCAAACAGACTTCGACTCGTATTTTCTTAAGGAAACAAATTACAATGTTTATTAGTGACCAAAACAACAATGTCTCCGTTGACAGAGCCTTCAATGCATGCTTGGTTTATTGATTCGACTCGTATTTTCTTAAGCAACTATATTCTGGCAAGTACAAACAGACTTCGACTCGTATTTTCTTTAAGAAAACCAAATTACCATGTTTTATTAGTGACCAAAACAACAATGTCTCCGTTGACAGAGCCTTCAATGCATGCTTGGTTTATTGATCTGAAATTCGAGCCTCCACCAGAGACAAAAACAGCTAGCTTTCTCCGCTTAACCCATGATTTTGAACTTTCCTTCTCGGAAACAACATTACTTACTTTTTCTACACTGTTTGAACACTCTAATCTTCTTACAGACATGAACTTTTCAGAAGCTGGAAAATATTGGAGTTTAAGGGAGATCTGATGTTTCGATCGAATGAAACAAGAAGGATACGAAAGAGAATATGATGATGACGATAATGGATTTCGAAGCTTTGTATATAATGGGGTTATTGAATTTGAGCAATACCCAGAAAACAAGGTTTGTGCTGCCATTGAAATCAAAGATAAATTCGACGAATCGAACAAGTTCTTGTATTCTCTCAACACTCAACAATGGAAGAAACAGGACACTAAAATCCTGATATTACCATTCGGTGCAATAAACGAATAAAACTTGAAGATAATCTATTGGTCTCTAGCATAAGAAGGTTGCAGACTGCATAAATCTTCAAAATACTCCCTGCAACAAAACAAAAAGTAAACTCACTTACATTTAGTGGAAGATCGACGAACAACGTTGCCACCGACTATATTCAATCTATAAAGCAAAACTACATTCTTCCGAACTTGAATTAATCAGGCACTATTTGAGAACCTTAAAGCACTAAGATTCTAGCAAAGAGGATGTATAGATATGCATATTTCAAGATTCCAGATTATAAACCCTACAAAAGTTTTGCTTCATTGATTTGGGTGACTAGTTTTTGTTCATAACTAAAGAATCATTATACTCAATACTTGCAGGTGATATGAGTAACGCGTCAATCATCATCTGGCGTCCCTTGATGAACTAAATCCACAGAACAATAAAATCTAAAAGAAAAGCAACCCTTACACAACATAAAGACCCCATATCTATTAAAGAAACAGAAAAAATAAAATGTAATTTTGGTAAAGAGAATCACTTTAGGGGAAAATCGAGATGCTGCTACTGCTGAGAGCTCCGTCAAGGATCGTGAATTGCGACAGAGAACAATGATTTGGGCAACGAAGGCAGAGACTCTAAGCAAGAAGGAAAGGCCTGCTGAGAGTGAGAACTGTGAAAAGGCGCCTCTTTTATTCTTAAAAGGTAATGAAGAAAAGGGTTGTTTCAAAGGGGCTTTTTTAACACATGGCCTAGTGCGAGCTAACCCTTTTAGTGGGTTGATTTTTTTTATTCAATATTATAATGGGTAAAGCACGCAAATGGTCCCCCAACTATACAAAATTATTTTATTAAGTCTCTTAACTATTAAAAGTTATAAAATAGTGACTCAACTATGGAGTGTTACTTTGTTGAGTCCCTCGACTACTAAAAGTTACAAAATGGTCACTCAATTATTCATTATATTTCAAACTCATCATTTTCGCTAAAAAATGAATGATGTTCTAAGCTGAACGTAAATTTATTAACTGTGATATGATAAAATTTGATCTTAAAATTTCAAACAACTATTATATTCTAGTCATCATGTTAACGCCCATCATAAACAACTACAAATTTTTTAATAGAAAATGATGAGTTTGAAACATAATGAATTATCGGATGACTATTTTATAACTTTTAATAATTAAAATACTCAACAAAATAATACTCAATAATTAAAGAATTATTTTATAATTTTTAATAATCAAAAAATTATTAAATTAATATCCTATAATTGATATGCCATTTATGTTTTTTATCCGATTATACTTGGGTGTTTGATTTATGAAGATAAGATTATTGGTCCGAAAATACTGTATTATCGTGTTTGGTTTATTGCGTAGCATGCCAAAGCCCTTTTCTCTTCACTCTCTCCATCCAGGATCTCTCTCAACATGGCCCAACCCCTAAAACGCGCCGCCACCTCCAGCCTCACGCGCCATCTTGCTTCATCTTTCCTCCTTCCCAAACGCCTCCTCTCAACCACCTCCATTACCCACCCTCCTCCCATTCCTTCTCCCCTCCTCTACCGTCGCTCTCTTACCCCTCTTTCCCACGCCGTCCGATCTCTCCCTCTCGCCGCCGCGCGCTTCACCTCCATCCGATGCCGCGTCAACCGTTCCGGGAACTCGGCTTACTCCCCACTTAACTCGGGGTCAAACTTCAGTGACCGGCTTCCTACCGAAATGGCCCCGCTTTTTCCGGGGTGTGATTATGAGCATTGGCTTATTGTGGAGAAGGGGCTACTAAACAGTAAATGATTGATTGTTATATCAAAACCCTTGCTAAAGTCATCGGCAGGTATGTTTGGATACTGTGAAAGTGTGAGAAAATGGGCAAAAAACTTACGGTGTAAATTTGAAAAAGAACATAATAGCTTGGTTTTTTAAGTTAATTATTCTGGGTTTGTCATTGTTTTCTTAAAGATTGATTCTTTAGCATGATTGGTGATGCAATTTATTGAGGTTCTTTGCTATTGCTTGCATTATATTGACAGTTTGATTTTCGAGATTATTGTGTTTGAGTTGCATGTTATTTGCTTCATGTTAGTGAAGAGGAAGCTAAGAAGAAGATATACAATGTTTCCTGTGAGAGATACTTTGGATTCCGTTGCGAGATTGACGAAGAGACCTCGAATAAGTTAGAAGGTCTTGCCTTTAATTTTCTTTCAGTTGTTGGATTTGTTTCTTTATTTTCCTTTTATGCTTGAAGTTTATGGCCAGCAGTGTATAATTTTTGTTCTTTTTCTTGCCAATACTCAATAGGATTGCCCGATGTTCTATTTGTGCTTCCGGATTCTTATGTTGATCCTGAATACAAGGATTATGGAGGTAAGCTCTTTTTTTCTTTCGAATAAGCAGTTTTGCAAACTTAGTATTTGCTTGTAATGTTAATTGTTCTTGATAATGAGAATGTTCTATTTGTTTTAGTTGACCTAAGGAAGGTACCTATACAAGTACTTAGCTAGAGTGTTATACTCAATGGTTCATGGTTGGTTCTGGTTTAGACAGTAGTACATGGTAGTTCATCTTTACAAATCGAAAGAGCCGTATAGACAATACTTTGAATGCTAATGGATTTAAAAGGTCTCTAATGGTTTTGTGCTTTTTTTTCCAATTCGGATCAGTGTGGAAAAATAGTAATATATAGTTTCCACCATTAAAAGTGGACTAATTCTTGTTCTATTATTTTGCCCTGGTATAAGTATATGTTCCATCTTGGAAATCTAAAATGTCATGCAAGTAGTGTATAGTTTTGAATGCTAATGGACTTGCATCAACTGCTTCTTTCAGGCGATTTGACCAAACTGACATATATTTATCGAATATTTACTTTTTTAGCACCGTTTGATATATATTTCCCGAAGTGGCACCCTTTCGGCTGAGTTGGCGAAAGGCGCGTCCTCGGGGACGCTCTTTACTCGTGTTTCGCTGAGTTGGATGCCACGTGTGGAAGGCGCATCCCCGGGACGCGCCTTCCATTAAATGTCATAAATACCCCATCCGTTTTCCCTAACTACCCCTCCTCCTCCCCTATATAAACCCCCTCAACCCTCCCATTCTTCACACCAAAATCATATTCTCCTCTCTTATATAACTCAAATTCTATAACTATTTGAGTTTTAAATTTGTTATTAGTGGTAAGAAATTTATTTTTATGTTAGTATTTTTTAAATAGTTATTATATTTATATAATATTTATGTAATATTATTTTTTATTAAAATAATATTTATAATTATTATTTAATTAGAATTATTAATTTTTTTGTGTGCTAATTATATTGTTTTGTCTACAGTTATAATAGAAAACGAAATGCTGTTGCGATTGGATATTGATCATATCTCTAGACATTTTAGCAATATGATAATATTTTTTATAATTAATGTTAATATTTAAATTTATTTTTATTTTAAAGTTATTATGAATTTATATTAATTTTAATTTTTTATAATGTATATTATTTAGGATACTGATCGTATTTTAGACTTTTATTAAAAATCCACGTATACCGACACCGGAACGTATTTTGTCATATTTGGCTTCTACCGGGTTCGGGTATATTGCAACAAATATTGACGGTTGTAAACTCGTACCTGTCCTAATTTCTTCACTGATTGAGAGGTGGAGGCCCGAGACACACACTTTTCACCTTCCATGTGGAGAGGCACGATGTTTCTACAATGCCCACATCGTTTTTGTTTTGTTGACTTATCCCGAATATCCATATCACAATGTATTCTAGTAGATTTTGGACGACTTGAGTCCATCAATAGCAACGGATCTGGTACAATTGTAAGCCAAGTTTGAATCTCATTTGGGTCTCTTTCGTTTCCTATGGGCGGAAACTCAAATTCATATACCTTGAATACTTGTGAAAGTTGGTATACGGGATCAACATAATTTTTGTAGTCCAAATGCGAATGTGAGCAAGCTACGATGACATGAGAGCATGGATATTTGAGTGCTTGAAAGAAACCATAATCGCACCACCTCTCTTGTAGATTAACTCTGAAAGAGTTAGCTCCAATCCCTTGCAGCGGACGTGACATTTCGGTTAAATGAAACAATTCATGGGTGCGAGAAAAATTTGTAACTAACATCCCATTTGATGCAGCCACTTTTTTCTGTAAATCAACTACTAGTCTTGGGTGGTAAATATGGTCGTTTTACATCCAAGTAAGAGCTTGTCCATCGAGCTTTGCAAAGAGTTGACCCAAACGAAAATAAGTCGTTTTAACCAACGTCGTGACTGGTAAATGACGCGCCCCCTTTAAGGTTGAATTTATTGCTTCAGCTAAGTTTGTTGTCATATGGCCATAGCGATACCCCCCGTCATATGCATTTGTCCACATTTCTTTGTTGAAGTCCATAATGTACTCGCACCCCTTCTTATTTTTGCCAAACAGCTCTTGTAGCATCGACTCAAACCTTTGAGGTAAGAGTTCGTAACCTAAGCCATTAGGAATGTAATAGTTAATATGAAGTATAAATAAGTAATAAGAAATTGATAGAAAATTGGGAAAAAGTAACATACCCATCCGCACGACTAACTGACGTTCATCGTTCTTCTTGTATTTTCCGTAATAGTTTGCTGCAATATGACAGACACAATAACGATGTTGAACATGTGGAGGTCTATACATTGTACCCAAAGAGTACATTGCTGCTTTTATCCCGGCTCCTCGGTCTGAAATAATGCATACTCGTTCCCTGGTGACAACATGTAAACGAAATTTTTAAGGAAAAAAGACCAAGACTCAGTGTCTTCTCATTGAACGAGGGCAAACGCAACAGGAAGAATATTGCGGTTTTCATCTTGGACCACAGCCAATAATAAATTTGCTTGTATTTCCCATACAAGAAAGTACCATCAATTTGGACAACTGGTTTACAGTACTTGACTGCATTAATACACTGAGGGTAAGTCCAAAGATACGGTAAAATTGGCAGCGATCGCGAACCATTCGATCATTCACGTAATGATGTTGAGTTTCGAACTCAACAATTATCCCGGGATTAAGTCTTTGCACAACATGAAACCAACTGGGCAGCTCATTGTAAGAGGAATCCCATTCGCCATGAGTTTGCAAATGGCATTCTGTTTTGCCAACCACGCTTTTTTATAGAGACGGTGTACCCATATTGTGACTGTATAGCAGAAATCAACACTGCAACAGCTATATGAGAGCTTTGCTTTACAATGGGCATGATTGCTTGGCAAATAATGTTGGAGTCCAAGTTGGGATGATCCTGGTTTATACCTGTTGCACAACATGTATGAGGACAGTTGTATCTGGTTAGTTCCCATGAGTTGTTCTTCCTCTTTGATACACGGACCATCCATTGACATCCGTTGTCACGTTGGACGCAGTAGCAGACATATTTCTCCGTGTTAGATCGATCAACTCGGGACTTAACTGAGTTACGAATATTGTAACTCTTTATTGCCATCATTGCTTCCTCCTTCGATGCGAACTCCATTCCAATATGTAAATTACCGTCATTGACTAATGATTGAAGTCCATAGTTGCCAACATCAGGAAGATCTGGAAATTCAGGCTCATACATTGCTTCATAATCAGCCTCATACATGTGCAGGAAGTTCGGCTGGTGTTGTATTTATCGGAACGTCATCCTCGTCATCATCAGAATGTACGTTAAACTGTGGTGAGTCAGGTTTAACGAATAATCCCGTTTCAACACCATCTGTACCTGGCTCCCGAAGAGGTTCTTCTTGTGGAGATGAGGGTTCCTCCGATAATCCAATGTTGAGGTCAAATAAGCTCCCGCTTGCGTGTCCTCCCTTTGAACTTGAGGCCATTGTATCATGTAGGATGTTAATAGACTGCCGTCTCGTTGGCATTTCCATATGTAAGTTGAAAACATTGGCAGATGAATGTCTGCCCCTTGAAGTAGAAGAGATTGCCATATGGATTATTGGTGAAGCAACGTGGGTTGAGATTATAAGCAGTTGCAGATGAATGCCTTCCTATTGAACTTGATGGCATGGTATCTGGCGTTGGATCCGCCATTAATGATGTGAAATCATTACAGATCAGTTGTGTCGAGCTATCAACTTGATCAACTTGATATGCAATGCCAAAGTGAGAGGAATATGAGAGACCACGAGTTGCACGAACCTCAATAAAAGTGGCATACATTTCAATAAGAGATTGTGAACTCCCCATATGAGCATCAATCATCATAGAAACATCATCATCGTTTGAAAGCTGAAATGATGTATACGTGAGCGGAAAAAGTTCAGTAGGAAATATGTACTGAAGTGAAGATAGTCTTCTCTGGCATGCTACAAGAATCTTTAACGAAATTTTTGTGATTAACTCCTTAATTGTGATGTTTCTCTTCAAGGTTAAGGGGATATAATGATCTGACTAAAAAACAACCCCCTCTTCAGCTTCCTTAATTTCTCCATCATACAAAACAACATCAGAAAGACGACTCATTTTCAGAGAATTTGAGAATTTAGAGTTTGAGAATTTGAAAACTTGTGAACTGAAGTTTGTTTTGAAAGTTTATAATACGTTGCATATAATAGTGTCTATAATCGGAGTACTATTCACATGAAGGCGCGTTCCCGGGGGCGCGCCTTCCATTATTTTGTCAGAGAATATGCTATCATTGCCCTATTATGTCACTCATGTCCCTCGGGGACTATTCATATCAGTACCTATTATTTCTCAGGGGACTTGAAGGCGTGTTCCCGGGGGTGCGTCTTCCATTATTTTGTTAGAGAATATATTATCATTGCCCTATTATGTCACTCATGTCCCTCAGGGACACTATTCATATCATTACCTATTATTTCTCAAGGGACTTAAAGACGCGTTTCCGGGGGTGCGCCTTCCATTATTTTGTCAGAAAATATGTTATCATTGCCCTATTATGTCACTCATGTCCCTCGGGGACACTATTCATATCATTACCTATTATTTCTCAAGGGTCTTGAAGGCACGTTCCTGGGGGCGCGCCTTCCATTATTTTGTCAGAGAATATGTTATCATTGCCATATTATGTCACTCATGTCCCTCGGGGACACTATTCATATCAGTACTTATTATTTCTCAGGGGACTTGAAGGCGCGTTCCCGGGGGGGCGCCTTCCATTATTTTGTCAGAGAATATGTTATCATTGCCCTATTATGTCACTCATATCCCTCGGGGATACTATTCATATCAGTACCTATTATTTCTCAGGAGACTTGAAGGCGCGTTCCCGGGGGCGCGCCTTCCATTATTTTATCAGAGAATATGTTATCATCGCCTTATTATGTCACTCATGTCCCTCGGGGACACTAGATGGATTGTGAAAT